TATCATAGAAGTGATGTTTTGACCTACCTGACGTATTATCGCAAAGAACGTACTGAGTATTCAGTATGATAATACGTCAGGTAGGGCAAAACATCAATCCTATTTATTATCATTATCATTATCATAAGTTTATTATAGTCGCCATTTTATAACTAGGCCTATTTATTATTTATTACGATGTGAGTTTGCGTCAGGAAATATCATGGAAGTGATGTTTTGACCTACCTGACGTATTATCGCAAAGAACGTACTGAGTATTCAGTATGATAATACGTCAGGTAGGGCAAAACATCAATCCTATTTATTGTTAATTAATTAATTTATTTATTTATTAATGTCAATAAATGTATAAATATTATTATCATTATTGTTGTTGTTTTTCATCATATAGTAATGCATTCAGTATTTGTGTCATACAAACATTGTTGCCATTCCTAAAAAAAATGGTATATTAATAACTATTATTATTATTATTATTATTATTATTATGTGTGAATAACATACAATAATATCATATTCTTATTTGAATTATTTATTCCTTTTATAATATGTGGGTTAAAAAAAACACACAGCTGAACAAAGGCTGATTATCCGAAACTACTAAAGCCTTACAATTGTGATTTTCAAATACGATCCAGGAATTTAAAAATATAAAAATATAAACATCTAAAGGAAGAGTAGAACATAATCCACACATTGCCACTATGCGCAAGGTCTACAAGAGAGGAGATAACTGACCTAAATAATTAGTTTTACAACAAAACCTCTTAAGTGAGCTACTCAAGGAATATACTATATTGTTGGGTTGAGTGTGGGAAATAGTGTTTATGGTTACACACAACACAACAAATAAGTACAATCAAAACAAAGACTAAAGTAATAGGCATGGAAACACTGTTTAAAAGAATCAATATTGATGTTGTGTGTAACGTGCTAATAATACGAATATTAGAGGATCCTTGGAAGGGCGTTCATTGATGTCAAGGTAGAGGCAACACGTTAAAGGGCTCCCTTGCGTGCGCTTTGTTCATCACACGTACGCAGATACGGTGACCGAAGAGAAGCGCGTATAAATATTAAAATGAGATACACGCGACATTGCAGCCAATCATCGACAGAGTCCTGGATGCTTTAATTCTAGGATTAAAAATACAAGCTGGAAATTAACGTAAATATTAGGTAATTCACTCTAATATACTAATGAGTATGAATACTTGAGAATTATCTGCCAATATTCGTGTTATATATGATTGATAGGTGTCAAACGGAAACCACGAGTTCAGTCAATATTATAATATCAAAAAGGTGCTATTACCTAAATATTCCACCATCGACATATTAATATCAAGAGAGAGGCTCATAATGCTGGTGATTATGATTCATAACTCAATACAGTATTTTGTAAATATTAAGCTTAGATAATAAATGCCATTCTTACACGCGATGAGCGACAAAATTAATAGGCCTGCCAATAATTAGTCATAAAGATAAATGCTATGTCTTTAACGTCAAATCTATTGGCCCTTACTTCTTGTTGATCCAAGATCGGACATCATTTTGTGTAAATATTTGACACTTATTTTGGCGGTAGAGCAATGCTAGGTTGGCCCATAGCAACGTTATAGAAGTTAACAACAAGGGCCACAAACATATTTTGCCTTATCATCACCTCGCAACACCAGTTGTTCATGAAATTAATTAACTTACATATCGAATAAAAAATAGAATTAAAGAGTACAGGCTAATTATATTATTTATTTATACATTTTTTTTTATGTTATGTAAATAATAACGGATACACTAACGTATTCTTTACCATTAGGTGGCCCTTTTAAATTACAGTTTATTAAAAAGTACCATTTGCACCAAAGTTGTTGAAATTAACTCCAAATATTTGAAATTTGGCATTTTGTATTGCCATTTCAGGACATCTTAGGTTTTATTTCTTTAAAATTTACTCCAGCCATGGTGGGGCTGAGGTGGATAAGGACTCAAAGTGCCCTTTTGTGAAAAAATTAGAACCCCACCCCTTTTAAAAATCCCGCCTACGGGCTTGGACCCTCAATGCTCTATAAACAAGTGAGGTGAGGGTGGGGAGTGGAGAGCTGATCATTTGAGTCCCTGGATGCTCTAACTCAAGTCTCTTATGAGGCTTGGGGAGTGGAAAGCTGATCATCTGGGTCCCTCCATGGATGCTTTAACCAAGTCTGTTTATGAGGCTCCTGGCTTGGGGTGTGGAGAGGAGGGCTGATCATTTGGGTCCCTGGATGCTTTAACCAAGTCTGTTTATGAGGCTTGGGGAGTGGAGAGCTGATCATTTGGGTCCCTGGATGCTTTAACCAAGTCTATGAGGCTCCTGGCTTGGGGTGTGGAGTGGAGAGCTGATCATTTGGGTCCCTGGATGCTTTAACCAAGTCTCTTTATGAGGCTCCTGGCTTGGGGTGTGGAGTGGAGAGCTGATCATTTGGGTCCCTGGATGCTTTAACCAAGTTTCTTTATGAGGCTTGGGGAGTGGGGAGCTGATCATTATGATCCTTGATGCTCCATAACCAAGAATCTTAATGAGGTTTGGCGGGTGGTGAGCTGATCATATTTTGAAACCCTAAATTTGGAATTATAAATTTAATTACAGTTATAAATTGTAATTGTTTATAAGCCTAGATTAATACCAGCCAACCTGGTTGTATTACTGTAATTTGTTGTTTGTTTTGTATATATTTGTGTATTTTTAGCAGAATAAAAATGAATGAATGAAGTCTTTAGCTCTTCAAGTGGCTCGGGGAGTGGAGAGCTGATCATTGGTAACTCATTGATACTCAGTTATAACCCGATCTCTATAAATATTCACCATCGTCAATCATGATCAATCAGCATCACGACACACTGTCATCATTTTCAACACCAAAATCATCAATAATATTACTAACATCATTCCAGTCTTCATCATCAACATCACCATTCTTATTCATCAGTCATCGTCGTCACCATCATCATCACCACCACCATCTTCATTATCATCGTCACCATCATCATCATCATCATCATCATCATCACATAAATCATCGTCATCATCATCATCATCTTCTCCTTCTGCTCATCATCATCATCGTTAATTTTATGTTTGTATCCATGGTTAGACCTAAATATTTTTTTTTATCATGAATACGTTGTCTTGTACTCTTCATTATAATCCAATAATTAATCTTCGATCCTTGATTTTCATTCCTTGGGTTAAATTATGTTTGAACTTTTGTACACAAACGCGATTTTAAACTGACCACAATCTTGATGTTGTTACTATCTTGACGTCTTATCCGTTGAAATTGCTGAATGACACCTCGATAACAAACGCCCACCGTACATAACCAATATAACCGCGATAACGCTGGCTTGATTGACGCGTGTCAAATAATCTGACACATTAAGAACGCGTTCAGTTATCGTTATACTTCCAATAAGCTTGTCATCTTGTTATGTTTTGCCACAATCTGCCCTTACCTGGACTTTATGTTTGCCGAATCAGCGATAACATTGAACCCGACGGAAATAGACTCGCATCAGGCCATGACTGGCTATTCATGGATTGTACAAAGAAAATGTGTAAGCTACATCAGGCAGACTTGTTGGGCCGTTAAGAGCTCTCGAGGCAAACACTTCATCATCCTCATCGGGGGCATTGCGTGATAACTAAAATTCTCACATATCATGGGGAGATTTCAAAATGCTGTCTTTGTTTGACAAATTTTAGATGTGAATTTTAATATTAAAATTATTATATCTTTTAGTAGTGATAATAATAATAGTATATTAGGCTTAGGCTACAGTATTAGCTTCAATAGTCCGCCGACAGGGGGTCCAGATCAAAGGGCCGACAAGAGCCTCGGTCCGGGCCCGGGATTGGCAATGAAAATAACGTTATTGGGATAGGAAAATTATTATTTTGTAAATTTTTTTTATCCGACGACCTCGTCGTGGCGTCAGACGACATGGGGTCCAGGCGCCTAGGCCTGTCCGACGGCGGGGGAAGGGGGATAATATGGAACACATACTTAGTTCCCCCTGTGGAGAATTCAATAGTGATGCAGCTGTAATTAGGGCATTTGGTGTTTGAAACTACCAGGTATCCACTTGTACTCTCGGATGGGTAGAGACAATCGTAGGTGAAGTTCCTTGCCTAAAAAAGGAATTCACAGGGAGGGATTGAACCTCCGACCTCAAGGTTGAGAAACAGAACCGCTCAGACAATTTACCTAATTTTGAATAATTTTTTTAGATTCGTGATTTTATCATATAATACTTGGAAAATGTAAAGGGAAGTTTTACACTATTCATTTATATATTAGACCTTTTAGCCGATTAACATCGGTGCTATTAACTAAGACTAAATCCCACCTGAAAAAAAAAATGCTTATCAATTTTGACCCCAGCTATAATGTCTTGAACCCAGAAAATGCTTAAATGAAAAATTCAATCCAAAAACGCCGGGGGCTCTCTGGAACGCCCAAAGGGGCTCTGGATCTCAGGCACACTTTTTTTTCTTCTATCACCCAGCTGATAGGCCTACTGTTTCTTAAAGCCAGAATGCTTAATTGAAAATTTTAAATCCAAAAACGCAGGGCTTTACTCCCTGGAACCCCCAAAGGGGTTCTGCATCTCACACATATTTCTGCCATCACCCAGCAATAGGCCTGCTGTCTTAAACCCAGAAATTGCTTAAATGATAAATTCAAATCCAAAAACGCGGGGGCTTTCCTCCTTGGAACCCCCAAAAGGGGTTCTGAATCTCAGGCACAATTTTTTTATTGCATCACCCAGATCCAGGCATTGGGCCGAATGTCTTGTCTTAAACCCAGAAAATGCTTAAATGAAAAATTAAAATCCAAGCTCCCTGGAAGTTTCAAAGGGGTTTATTCTGGACCTCAAGGTGCACTTTTTTCTTGCATCACACCAGCTATAATACATTACACCCGTTATTAAACAACGTGTTTTTCATGTTACAGCTGCTGGTCTCACCACGTTACCAGACCCAGAGACATCACTACAAGATGGCACCCTAAATACTCCACTGGACCATCCACATCAGTCAAACGAATGGCCAGAGAACACATGTAGGACAACCGAATTAAATGAAGACATGGAGAGGCACCTATCGTTAGAGGTACGTAGCAACTTCATGAATTCAGTAGCCTATACTGTATTTGGAACGCTAAATGTGATTTTTTTTTTTTTCCGCGCGGGAAGAGGGGGGGGGGGGTGGCTTGAACCCACCTGTGATATGAAAATCCCCTCAAGAATTATGTTTACTACAAAAAAACATAAAAAACAAAAAAAACAAACAAATCATCGAATTGGTTACCATACCAGCCAATTTCCTACACAAATATTATAATTATGAGTTAATATCAAAGACAAGACTAAATTCATCTTATAACAGTAATTGTTGCTTGTTTATTTTAAAATAATACAAAATAGCACATACATGACACAGTTTCAGTGAGGATATTGGTCTTCGTTATGATCATTACTTTAGTTATTCACCCTTAGGTCACTAGAAAGTTAGTTTAAAATCGGCCACTTATTTTGAGACACATGTAATCTTAGTGTGTATCCCTATATATAGTTATCGTCAGTGGCAAATTAAATATGTATATAATTAATTTTTCTTATAGTTTATCATCATACATTGTTACTTCGCACTAATCATATTCTCAAGCTCCTTTTCGAGTTGCCTTGTTACTGTGTGGTTCATAAACAAAAGCCGACCTTGCGGTAGTATATGATGTACTATTGCGGCCATTTTGTCAGCTTTAAGCAGAGTCTCATGGGGTTGATCCAATGCTTTCATATGTTCCTGTGAATAACGTGCTAACAATTTCAAAACTGCCTCAGCTTGCAGTCGATTCTCATGTTTTTCACATACAAGAGATAAGCCAAAATTCCCAAGTCCTTGCCAAACGACAATTTTCTCAGTCACAAATGGTTCACCAGCCGAGAGACGAAAACAACCGGTTACAGTGTTTCCAGATGGATCTTCTATGGAGTGCCTTCGCATATCATCCTCAACAGTGCACCCTAAAACTGTCTTACGAAATGAGAATTCAGACTGAACTTGTTTAGCCACTAACGACATCTGTTCCTTGCGCTCAACGCGACGATCTTTGCCCGACTCTGGTTTACTTATCGGCTCGCCATTGAGCCTAGGAATGTAGTCGATATTTTGGGAGTCCTCTAGTCCAAAGGTAGTCGAATAAAGAACTCTGCACGTTCCTGGTAGCAACGAATGAGCTATAAAGGCATAAACCATGACTTTATTGGCAGTTTATTTTGGGGAAAATGTGATATTCCTTTCTAAACATCAGCTCCACTGTCAAAACATCGTCTGTACAACCCGGAAGTAGTAAAACCAAAATATACGCATGCGTATTAAGGCAACTTTAAAGAGATTGCATTGGCTTAAAGTTGAAGTAGTGTGTAGTTCAGTCTCTGCTTTAATTTACGTTACGTACGTAGGGAGGTGTGGTCCAGGGTAGGTTAGGCAGGTAGAGTGGTTTCGTTTTATCTTATGGAGGTATAGTTGTATACCTTCATGGTTATATTCATTTCCAATCGCTGTAGTAATTTGATTGCTGTAGGCCCTATGCGCCATTGCATTACTGAAACGTTAAAACAAAATGCCTGGCTAGCTAAAAATGGATAGGAAGCTAGGCTAGGCTAGGCTTTTACAATTGCTAGTAAGAGGTGGCCAAGGCTAGTGTAGAGACATGCTCTTCTTTCTTTCATTCAGATTGATAAATGTATTGGTGATGATGGTATGTTTGGTTAAACGTACATGATTTGTTGGCGTACATATAAGGGCACATTAGATTATCTCTTTTTTTTTAAATGGATGAGGGAGGGCGTTTTTTGTTTTTGTTTTTTTTAATCGGAACAATAGATTTAATTTCACTTTTGTTTTTATCGATGAGGGCGGGACTGTTTATATTTGGCTAGTAATAGTAAATATTGTATAAAAACTGGTTTGATTTTATAGTTTGTTAAAGACAGTGTATTTGAAGTCACGAAATTGCATTGTTATTTTTATGATGTTGAAATAATTGATGCGGCAAAACAATTTTTTTTTTATTCCCGCATCAATATTTCCTGAATTTTCGATGCTGTTGGGAGTGATAATCTAATAAATTGTTCTATTTGCCCTAAGTAGACAGTAATATTTTATTTATATTAATGTATGTTTAATGTAATAATGTTTTATCATCATTGTTTAATATTTTAATATATATATAATTATTTGTATTATTGCAGATTAAAATGAACTTCTCCATGTAAATAAATGTTTATCAATGTAGGTTTTCTAATTCTTTCAGTCTTTGGATGGGTTCTTAGTGGTGGTGACTTCAGACGGTACCATATTATATACCACAGACAACATCTCATCTCATCTAGGATTCAACCAGGTGGATCTTGTGCACAGGTGCCTCTATGGCATTGTCCATCCAGATGATCACCATGAACTAAAAGTCGTTCTGGAACACAGTCTGTCAAATACTGCTACACAGAAAGATTCTGTAAGTGTTTTTTGTATTTCTCAGAATTTTATTGATGTTCTTTTGACTAACAGTGAGCAATTTATATTGTCAGGAGGATATTATGCCATAAAATTTTTTAACTCAGCCCCAGCCATGTTTGCACTAATGTAGTCTGTAAAATTCCTTTCCTTGACCCCCTCTATTTCAAATTTCTGGATCCACTATATAGGCCTACTTTGAGCTATGAAATGTACAGGTTTGGTAATGGCATGTAAGAAAATTGAAGTAGCCTGTTACTACATAAATTAGTTTTACATTCTCTATCACTGACAGAAAGATTTGCTGGTAAATTATGTATCTGAATCAATTTCAATGTTGAACATGTAATTTAACATTTTTCACAGGTACATAAAAATATCTTGCAAAGTGGTAAATGCAAAGATAAGGGTAATCAGAGCAGGAAGGTTTCTTTCCTATGTCGTATGAAATGCTACAATGGAACGAGTACAGGCTTTGTTGTGAGTATTTGCGGAATATTATAAATGGCGTATTTTAAATAATTTTGAGTTATTATGACCTTAGAGAATAAATTCATTCAGATTGTTGTAACAATATTATGACCCTTATTTTTAATATAGAAAATGTATTTTAATAATTTGGTATAGCAGTCAAAAGTAAAACTTTGTTTTACAATTTTTGTTTATATCTTTGTACAGAAAATGCATTGTTCTGGAAAAATGAGGCACTTTCCCAACCTGATCAAGTCCACATCCAAAGTGCCCTCTATGGTCCTGTTTGCTGTTTTTCGGCCGTTTGTGTCAGTTGCAGCAGAGGCAGATATTGACGTAAAACAGAGTGCATTCTGGACAAAACATGAATTGGATTTAAAAATCAAATCTGTTGATATGAGGTAAAAAACAAATTCTCGCAATTTTGAAAGCTCTGATGAGGGCAGTATAATAGAGGCAGTAGATATAAAAAAGATCTATTAATCAATCAACTATAAATGAATCAGCCGAGTGTTTCTAGGGCTCCTCATCGGAGCTAAAAATAGTAAAATTGAACACATACAGTATTCAAGAGTAAGTATGTACATAATAATAGTAATAAAAATGTACTGTAAATACAAAAGTTTGTCCTTGAGAGAGAAAATGAATGCTGGTGATAAAAAAAGTAATTGACAATATACTTAATTTTTACAAGCTCCGGAAATTTGATTCTTGCGAGAGTGCTCCTTCTTTGAAATCCATTAAAATCAATTTTTTCTGTGTTTTTTTATTTAACTAATTTTTATATGTTTTTACACATGTCTCTGGGCAATCTGGCCTATGAGGAATGAGGTGTATTGTGTATTTTGATGTTGTTTTTATAATAAATATAATTTTTATATATAGTTACTTGTTACTTACAACCTCAAGGTTGGAAAGTGAAACTGTTACCTTTGCGCCAAACCATGTCCACAATCACTAAACTAGGTACACGTTCATATAAATGGTGCTATTTTTAGTGGTTTAGAAAAGATAATAATTTTCAAATATAAATCACTGATTAAAGTCCCCCTGTACTGTTTACATGGCTATTCTTCTCATAAATTTTTTTGTAACATTTTCAGGGGGAGTGAATTACTAAGCTACAAGCCTGGTACATTGGAGTCTAGATCGTTCTATGACCTTATCCATCCTGATGACCTTGCTGCTGTCTTTGTTTGCCATAAAACATGTAAGAACATCCTTTTAATTTCTTTATGAATGTGGGTTTTATTTTAAAGAGTGGTAGCACCCAACTGGGGTGGGGAAAAGCATGTACCTCCTGCTATCCAATGCTGTCATTCAATAATATGCTGTTTGCAAGTCTACTTGGGTTCTAATATCACAAATTTTTTCCATCCTTAACCATCTTTCCCCTTGACCCCACCAGCAGTGTAATTCTGGACCCTGACCAGTGGCCCTAGATGAACATTTGTTGAGACCCCTTTTGGATTTACAGAAGATGGTGTGGCTGATGATGTGCAGGATTGGGAGGAAGGTGAACCAGTAAAGTCTTCTTCCCAAAGCTTCAAAACCCTATAGTTATCACTTACTTCTATTATTTAAAAAAAAAATCATAATATTGTTTATTAGTATTACAAAGGGGATAAAAAAGTTGAATGTATATCACAGTTGTAAAAGTTGACGATAATATATACGTTATTATTTTTTTTAGTGGTGGACACAAATGAAATCCATACTCTTTATTTCCGGATGTTGAAGTACAATGGAACATGGATTTGGATGCACACTCGAGGAAAGGTTATCATGAAAAACTCAAGAAAATGTGGAATAATGCTAACCCACTGCCCAATCAGGTTAGCAGCTTTTGCCAATAATAAAATATATGTTACTTGATAATGATATAATAATTTGATTGAAAAGTGAAAAATACCAAATACATTTTAAATGCTTATATTTAAAATTGGAAGCTATGAATGAGGCAACCCCATTTAAAATTTCCCAAAAACTCCAAAAACAAATTTTAATGTATTTTTTTTCTATCACATAAGAAATATGAAACTTTCACCAGAAGAGGGCACAGGTCAATTTGTAAGTGTGTCACTGTTGGATGAGAATGAAATGATATGAAATAAAATTTTATAAAAATAATATATAAATATAAAGTTTATCACCATTCTTTTGTTTAAATTAATAGGGAAGAAGATAGTTTGTATCTACAGCAAGAGGCAGAGGCAAGAAAGCGTTATGGAAACGAGGAATACTTCAGACTGATAATGCCGCCACAGACCCCAATCGAATGCCAGCCTCTTTCCTTGTGCCAAATGGAAAGCTCATATAAACGTCGCTGGGTTAGCAGCGATACTTACCTGAATGCCAGCCAAGCATCCACTCGCCAGACCACTGATGAATACGGTTTGTCTCTGCACAGTCCACACGGAAGCTGTCCTTCAAGTTTGCACCAGACTGATCGTCACTCCCCTGTTTATCCATCAACCTTTGCACCGCATCGTTACCAGAAAGCTGCACAGGATGTTTTGCATAAGCAGAATACTTACCAAAATGCTGAAAAAATCACGCCACAAATGAACTTATACACTCCAATACAAAGAACACAGACGGAGATTTACTCGCAGAACAGCCATGCAGAGAACCAGATTAACATGTACCAAATGCTGTCACATCTTCCTCCAGATATGTACGACATGGAGTTCTGTCGGCGGCAGGGGTTAACTGCTCTAGCCTCGGAACCCACAATGCAACAGATGCAGTACCAGATGCCACTAACACCACAGATGTCACCCGAAAGTTACTTCCCTCAGGTTGCATGCAATGAGCAGGTCGTTCCATGCTCAAACATTCCACCCTCTCCACCTCCGTCACCAGTAACGGATGTTAAGCCACCTCCATCATGTATGTTTGCAAACGCTTCACGTGACATGCAAGAAACTACTCAAAGTATATCTGAACCATCACCTGGTGAACTCCCCATGTGGGAAAATGGAATGTATCACAGTTATTCAGCAGGTTACCAAGGACAATCTCTGATGGACTACCAACAAATGTACGATAGTTCAATATACGCATCCCATCATCCAATCACTTTCAACAGACAAGGACTGAACATTGATGTGCGTCCAACACATATTGTTCCTGTTAAGGATCATGTGATTTACTTTGGAGAAATCAACAACAATGGTGTGATAAACCCAGCCTGTTTACACGGTGGTGATCAGACTTTCCCGTACGCAAGGATGGACACCACGAATCCAAGCATTTCACAAAAATTCCTGAGCTGTTATGTGAAAGAGATGGAACTGCAGCAGTACAAACAAGCAGAATTTGACCGCTCCTCTCCTTTACCACCTATTGGCAGTTTCCTGGAATTTCTAAATGATGAACTTTTAATACCATTGATTAATTAATTTCAATTACTGTATTAGACAATTCTATAGGTCCAGGTTCTGGACATTCCATTGCAGTTACTAAATGACAAACATTGCATACTAGTAATTTTAATTATTAGATGATCCTCAGGACATTCCATTACATCCATTGCGTAGTAAATTTCTGGTCCTGTCTACATATTATCTAAACTCAGCATGCATTGAATTACAGGTGGTTATGCAAATAGCTACTTAGTTTTTTATTAATTTATTCACAAACAGATAGGCGAATAATATTATCGAATAATCATTAAAATATACATAACCAAACCGAAATATATGCTTTAGTGAAGAGAATGAAAATTTCATCCATTATATTATAAAATTGAATTTACTCTATTTTATCAATTAAAATAGTGTTGTACACAGTGGTATATCTACAGGTGGGAAGGGGATTGACGATGGAAATTTGCTAACCTAAAAACTACAATTAAATATTTCAAAATCACCTCATACCGCCAGCTAATGTCCCTCACTGAATCATCAAACCAGAACCCCCTACTTAATCTTTATCCCCATCCCACAATTGGCCCTAGCTCCCCATGACAATACTTCTAGATACGCCACTGGTGATACAATACTGCATTTATATCTTAGATTGCATTAGCAGATGTTTTTAACGATACACCTATCAAAATAAGGGTTTAAATGGAGACTGTCTGGTGGCACTGAATCTTGTTATCAAACTATAATAGATTCAGATTTAAATGTTGCTGCTGTATGTGCAATTTTCAAAACAAATACTTTATGTTCATTTATTTATTTTATGTGTGATCATTTAGGTTCTGCCCTCACAATCAAGTTTTGTGTGACAAATAAATTTAATATGCCCATATTTGGGTATAATATGACATCATCATGCCTATGTATGGACACATCACACACATTTGTCACATAAAATTTTGTAGTGTGTACGGAGCTTTAGCTTATGTAAACTTATATTTTTAAATTGTAACAATGCCTATTTGTAATGGCAGCAAAATGATTATTTACTTGACCTGTTTACTTTGTTTACAGGTCAACTGTTTATGTAATAACAATAATTTAATATATGCCTAATAATTTCGACAAGGTAAACACATTCCAACAAAAGATTTATCTGCTATCGGAACACCCATGATCAGGGCCACCAAGAGGGGAAACTGTACCAGGGCAAGGGTTGGTGTGGGACCCCAGTTACGAGAGCAAAGCGTGAGAATGATTGCGCTGAAGTCACAATTTTTTGAGGGGGCCCTGTCAAACTGGTGGGGCCCATTATTAGGGGACCCATGCCATTATTGAGGGCCCACGATAGTAATTATTATTTTTGAAAAAAATATGGGAAAAACAAATGCTACCTGCAATTTCTATGGGCCCCCTGGTAAGCTTGGGCCCCGGGAATCTTTTCCTCCTGCCCCCACTCTTGGTGGCCCTGCCCATGATACAGTACATCACTTCTAAATTCTAAATACTGTAGGTTAATTTTATACACATTCATGATTTAATTTCTTAAATACCAACAAAAAATCTTTAATAAACATTTGAACATAATTTTAATTGGTACTTGTATACAATAGTTACTGTAGGGGAGAGAATGTGGCACAGCAATTTCCATTCTTGTTCTAAGCCTTGTGGTTGGGAGTTCAAACCACATGCTAACCATTCTCTGCTTTCTTGCACACTTATGGGCTGTAAAGTGGTCCATGCAATATTCCATAGGCAAGCATTTCTTACAAAGGCAAATATATCTGTCAAATATATAAGTTATAAGTGATATCCCCTTACATAGAAGTGGCTCAGCCAGGGCCTAGTCTTTAAATGAAAGCAAATTTAAGAAATAGAATTCTCAAGGACCTTTTTGTTTACTGCAAAACACTTTTTTTATGTTTGGTAAACAAAATTAAAGAATTTTTGTTTATCAGCTAGATGAGAAGGAAAAGAATACAATAACCTTAATGAATGTGGTCAGATCATCAGACAGCAAGAAATCTTGGCAACAACACCTTCTTTATCAATTCAATCATAGTACAGTAAGTTTTTTAAATAATAGGCCTAGGCAATGACTGCGAACTTGAACTAAAATTGACGTCCATTTAAATAGAAAAGAGTTCAGATATTATTGGTAGTGCAATAGAAGTGTTATGGCCTTTGACTTTTAAAATATTCTTTTTTTTTCAAAGAATATTGTACGTTCCTATTGGATTTAACAGATTTTGTTTTATCAATTCAGCAATTGTAAATATTTGAGCTGTCCGTGGAGGAGTGTTCTTATTTATTGAAAAAATGATTTGCTTAAATTGACTGTAAATATTTACTTCCTTCAACTTATTTATTGAACAAATGAGAAATGTCAGTGTGTATAAAGTACCGTAGACATTGGAACCGAATAAAAGAGTGGGAAAGTCAATTTGTTTTTGTCTTCATTTCATTCAGTCCAACTGTCCTCCCGCAGACAAGCATGGGCCTGTAAATTGGTAGGGGAGTTATAATTTACTACTGTACTAGTATTTTATCATCACTTTTTTTTATTATGGGACACTTCTGAGTTGAACTTGGCCTATATGAAACCCCCATCCCATGAACCTGGTTACGGGCTTGTGTGTCTTGACGACGAGATCCATAGACTAAAAATTTGTCATCCAACCAGTTTTTAGAGATGGAGAGTCTTCGAACAACCTCAGCCCCATGATTATGACAGAGATACAAAAAGCACCTCTAGAAGGCCATAAATGGCACACTTAGACTTAAATTAGAATATATTTTCCTTATTTTCTCTTTTTTCTAAAAAAAAATTTCAAAAGTTTAGGGGCCTGCATTGAATCCACCTACTGAATGTTGAGAGGTTTGCTCAAGTCGAGTCTGCTAGGAAGTGGTATAGGCTCCATAAAATCTTGGTTAAATAACAATTTAGCCACTAATGTAATAAAACTCCCCACAAAATAAAAATATGTAAAAAAATATGTTTTAATAATATTTAAACACATTGACATTTCAAAACCCAGATGCATTATAGGCTCCCTATCCCAACCATCTTACGACAACGCTGTAAACTATATTTTTTGAACGTCAAAGAAATCTGCAACTGTGAAGAAAAAGTTGCCCCAACCCCTTTACACCTCCATGCCCCAACTGAGATTCAAACCTGGGAGTTCTAGGGGCGGCGTTAGCGGAGGGGGGAGGAGGGGGCCAAAGGGCCTCTAGATCCCCTACTTGGACCCCCTATCGGGAAATTTCCAGCAAGTTTTTTAGGGGAAAAATAAAATCTCGGGCACCGTAATTATCCTTTTTAAATGAATAAATAAATAAAATTCCCAGACAGATCTAATTTTCCCCTCTCCTCTCTGGGTGGGGAGGGGATAGCAGTGGCGTATCTAGAAGTCTTGAAATGGGGGCTGATGGTGGGGCACGAAGGTAAAGTGGGGGGGTGGTGGAGCTCGATAATCAGTTGTGGCGCTAATTCGCAAAATATGGTGATTTTAACTTGACCGTGATTTTCTGGGGCGAATGGGGGACTGCACCCTCTCCTACATACGCCACTGGGGGATAGGCTCCTATATTATACTAGCAACTGATCTTTCACATTTCTTTTATGCTTGCATAGTCGCACTCCACCAGTTCTTGATGCACTGCAAATAACAAAGATCAATATGATATGATCTCAAGTATTTATTAAATACACAGCTGAGACAGACGGGATCCCGTAGACAATTTTATTATAAATAAACCACGTGCTTATTGTTAAAGTTAAAGAATAAAACTAGCCCTGTATGGATGGTATTTAGCCAATTTGCACACAGTTCAGGTGCTATCATAAATAGTACAGAAACTTCAACAAGAGCTACCTTTTTCTCTGTTTATATAGTTAAGCTTAACGAATTAAAGAGACAACAACAACATAAAAAACAACAACATTTATCCCGGGTTTGCTAAACAATTTTCGGTGAGTAATTAATGACGCTTCCTTGGCGACTTTGTCCAGTGAGATGTAAATTGTCAATACCGATCCAGATCCAGACTTTCACACTCATCTACCAACCGATCCGTCAATCAATCCATCAATGTTGTCAAAATGATAGAGGGCGTGTTCTCATAACATAAAAAAAGGCAGCCAGTCATGGCGGAACGGTTCCGGAAAGCGGCGCAAGCCGTTTCCTTTGCGACAATGATACAGGCCGATTCGTACAAAACACATAACGTAAATCTAGTCACCGAAATAGAAGCTTCAGAAGAACCAATAGCTCCAACTTTGAGGTAAATTAAGGCCGTGTCACCGAAATATGGTATTATCAATTTAGGCTGATGAATTGAAAATGATGATACACGCCCTCTGACGAAAGGCCTCTCGATTGGTCTCTGATTCATTGGTTTGGGAAACACCCCCTCTAGACTAGGCCTAACTCTTCATACACTGAATGATTTGGAAATTTGTATCCAAAGTGCGTAATTTCAATTAATTAGCTTATTTCCTTGTAATATCTCCTTCACTTTCATATTCACAGATTCAAAGAGGAAGAGATAGGCTATATTATGTAGAGGTGTACTGTAAACATAACGAATGGTGTTTGTTTAGGCTATAGGCCTAGCCTATGTATGGAAATTGATGACATCTGTTCTTCCCCCTTTTCATTGCCTACCCCTTCCCTCCCAGTAGTAGGTGCACCCAAGTCTACTGGAAATCACATGGTTCTTCCATGCATCCCCAGCCAACTCCCTGGTGACAGTGCTGTCTTGTATTCCAGCATGCCAAAAGTTTTTACTATAATACTCAACTAGGCCTATATAGGCCTAGTGGTCATTACTACGTAAACTAGTATTAATAGTGTTATTGTTTTTCTGAATTAGCTGGCCATCCCATGGGACATCAGGTGCAGCCGAATGCAAACCAGAATCACTGGAAGTAACTTCCAAACTTGTGTTTTTAATTCAACTGGCTAGAGTTTTGCTGACCAAATTAATTATTTCAGTTTACATCCAATTAAGTTGCTTTCATTTCTTATTTCATAAAACATAAATTAATGAGATACTTCTGTGTAGGCCTAAAAAAAATTGTTTGTTTGCCCTTTAATGCTGAAAATTGTATAGGAGGGGTGGACGCAAAAAAATTTTTTTTTTTTTTTTTAGTTTAGTGTCTCCTGTCATCAAAACGAACAAATTAAATCGCAATGCTTGCAATTATGCCTGTCTCACTATTTGTTTTTGAAAGGGTATTCATCAGACTGAATAAAATAACCCATGATCAATATTTTGCAATGAATTTCGGCTTCAGACACCAAATTTAGACAACTTTCATGCACAAAATGGAGAAAAATAAAGATCACTTTCTTAAATCTGCGAACAAAAAATAAAAAAAAAAACCAAACTTTTATTTTAAAAGAACCGCCCCTATTTTTCGGTGAGCTAGAGGTGGGCGGTGGAGGGCAAACAAACAATTTTTTTAGGCCTTGCCTAACATTCAACAATCTAATATTAAAAATTTATGTTTAAGTTAGCTTCAGGACTAAGACTTGGTATTGTATTCACTGACAGTATAAACAGTTTATGAAAGAAGAGTATAGTGTAGTGTATAAAAACAAACAGAATGGCAACAACGTAAACAAAAATGTTAGATTCAAAGAGAGGGCAAGATCTGTGACTACAATTCAATATTGTATTGTTGGTTGCCTTGAAGTGTATTGATTACAGTACAGTAGTTGGTAGGCCTAATATACATTTCAGAGAGAAGGCATGACCTTGCAATTTGTCTATTTACATTCTCTCCATTGCTAGTCTGTGAAGTCTGGATAGATTTTTAACTTAACTTTGGCATAACATTATTACAGTAAAAATTGATTTACATTATAGAAAAGACAATAGACTTTATTTCTCTTATAAAACAGCAGATCCCTTTCAGTGTATGAGAGAACATTCCATGATTTCTTAGTAACAAAAAGACTAATATTTAAAATAGCAAGGTTGTTTAACATGCATTCTTGTTCAAGGGAGACTGAAAAAATAATAAAATGTGCATTTATTTCAGATCAGTAATATTATCTAATTTTCTGAAAGTACGTCAGCTTTGATAAATAGATATTTCCTTTTGACTTCCTTCTGAACTGATCAAGTTTTCAAGACTAAGAATAGCTCTAACTTATGAATATTCATAAGATGATTCTATGGTTGAGTCATGTATTATTAATGCAATCTGCATCGAACAAACAGCATTCACTTGTTGAGGCCTAGGTTTTCACTGCCGTAAGAATGCTTTACTGGTGATCTAGGGATAAAATAGCTTTTTAAGCCTCCATCATTGCCTTTTTAACTACAAGTAAAGTTTGTCTAGGCTAGGCTGGTTCATGTTGTGACATATTCCAGCCAATATGAACATCTATAAGCCTAAAGATATCCGTTCTATGAGCAGCGTTGAGTCGGGCTCTACAGACTATGAACACTTTGTGCATGTTATTGAGGAGTCGGACACAAGCTGCCTTGGACAAATATTTAGGTAGGTGGCTTATTATATCTCAGTGGAGATGTTGCTGAATCATGTTCTGTGATGTATTTTGTCAATTATCACTCTGGTGCATGCAGTCTATGTTTGCTGTTATTCCTTGATGACTGAATCAATCTTTAAAACATGTTTGCATTATAATATCCGAGTTTACAAATAAATATTTAAGAAGTGGTAAACAAATGCATGTGTTATTATGCAAGAATAATTAATGATATTTGGGGCATAAGCTATTTGTTTTATTCTTTTAATTTTTACATTCTATTCAAAATTATATTTACAATTTTGGTTATATATTGTTATTTTTGTCAATACTTTTATTACAACCTTACTACATGTTATTTTCTATATAAACTTAATGTATTTTATTAAAATATTGTGTCCGAAGAAGCCATTTGTTTTTAATCAATTAGTCATACTACAATTCTTACCTTTGTTATTAATTGATAATTTGTTTAATTATATTTATTTTTATAGCTAGCAAATTAAAATATAATATTGTTATTTTCTGATTTATCAATCAATTATAATCATCATCATCATTGTTATCATTTTCTTAATCATTGTCATCATCCTGATCATCATGATCAATAAAAACTACTGTAAGCTAAAGATACAGCTCCATGCGGCACATGAACTTTTTTTTAATTCTGAATTCTGATATATTTATTTGAATAATCACCCTGCTTTATATAAATTCCCCTAAAATAGATTCCCCCTCTAGAGCCTCATTTGGAATAAATTCCACCCTCGAAAAAGCAAAGGTAATTGAAGCAACAACATTCTCATTACAGTCTATTAATATTCAACTCCAGTAGAGTTACATTTTTTCTAAACTGGTTGTGATCAATAAGTATTTATGATTATGCAATAACATATTTTACAGTAATTATGTGTTGTAGTTCCACATACAATGAAATTATGAGGCGTTTATTTGAGTACTATAATACGTATCAATTTTACACCAAAATAAATAAACGCCTTCCTCGAATAACTGCCCCCTCAAGAACCCTTCTCAACGATAAACGCCACAGGACGTTTATTCAAATAAATATGGTAGATCTTGGACATCCCTGGGAGCAGTCTTGGGTTCAAATCCTAAAATGGGTCACAATAAATTGTCCTTACAAATTAAAAATGTACTTAATTACTAGAATCACTGAATATAATGTACATCAATGTATTACTTACTGTGTATTAGTTCTGGACCCAAAATATCAATCAGCAATAGTTGGAGAAGTTGTTGTTGTGTCCAATCATCCCATCATACATGTTTGTGTTTCATTCATCCGTCTAATTTTGTGCTAACAGTGTGTATTTATGCAGTTAACTGATCCATGTACTGTATCTGAACGTTTAAGAATTGAGTATATACCAACATACTGTTCTCCACCTTTGCTGACTCAAATTAAAAGGACTGATTAATCCATGATTAATCCGATATTCTCTTTTTTTTTAACAAAATGTTACTACTACCTCTTAAAGTTATACATTTATAAATTAACTTACTATATTATTATAACATAAACATATTAGAGAAGTAGGTAGTTCACTGGTTATTTGTAAAAAAAAAAATGACCTGTTATAATTATAACAAAGTCAATAATAAGGTACATATTTAGCTTATAATTTTATTACTAAAAATAAAGTAGAACTTTGATAAATGAAGGTGCTTGTACCTATTCTCTAAAATAAATAATTATTACCAAATAAACAAGATGTAAATCACCCTCAAAACACATTATTTCCATATTCTTTTGACTGGATAGCATTTTCAGTAGCGCAAATTTAAAGTAAATTCAATTTAAAGTAATTTAGCACAAATGGTATTTTTTAAATTGACTATGGACATATTAGTTGCATTTTTTCTGATTTCGTTAGGTAGATACAGTTCGCCCTCCAATTCAAGACCACCTTTGGGACCTGAAAATTTGGGATGGTCTCGGGATTAGTCTCCAATTTGAGGGCTAGCGTTGTGTTAAAAGGTTGAAGATTGTTGTTTGGGTCTTTGGAAAAGTGGTCTCGAATTAGAGGGGTCTCAGAATTAGAGAGGTCTCAAATTGGAGGGGATGCACTGTAATTCCAAAGTGTTGTTGATCGGTATTGAAATGTTCGTTTTCCTTGAGTTTTTACCCAGTATGGTCCTGTACTAATGTTTTACTGCTTTGACTGAGTGCATTTGGGATGGACACCATCATTAAACATAAACATTGAAGATAAATATGATGGTGCATTTCACAACACTTAAAAACAACTACAAGTAAATGTTTTCTCCATCTTTCATTTAGTGGTTTCCAGCTTAGTGTATCTAATATATCGCTTATTGGAGTTTTTAAATCTACAGATAGTAGAAGTCTGTCTAATCTGTTTAGTAAAATTTTAAGTGAATTTAAGTTTTGAGTACTACAGTTTGACCAGATTAAACTGCAGTAATCAAAAACTGGTATAGTGCATACATGGACTTATGCATTGATTTATGCTGATATATTGATTTAATTTTTGCCAATTTACAGCATAGTTGGAATATTAAAAATTAAAATCAGTTTTATTTTATTACTAAATTTTATCATTGGGGGCTATTTTTACCTACCTGTCATTTAGGGCCATTTTTACCAGGGCATTTTTTCCAGGGCCATTTTACCTAGGGCCAATTTTTTCAATGCAGTTTTTGCCTACATTCCACCACTGATTGTTTTAGATAGTTACAGTGACGTAAACATACTATACGCACAAAAACAACTTCTCTGCGGTTGAGAACATTGAAGTGGTAGTATTACTTGGGTTGTAATATTAAATAAGCTTTCTTTGATATTCAGTAAAACTGTATTTTTCTCATCCAGTGTTGAATATAATTGTTTGTTGTTGAATTTTCATGCAATTTGAGGGAAACCAAGAATTAGTTTTTTATTCAACTAAGCCACCAAGTTTAAGAAACCTAACACAAGGAGGTCATTGGTTCTTGAACAGCAGGTTCCTTGCAATTGTTGTTATAGAAAATAGTTTCTAAGAGAGCAGAATTCTGTAAGTAGGTCTACCCACACTATTTACTGAATAGTCATGGCATACTTTACTATATACCCATGATATGGGAACCCTTGTTAAGTTTGATTTTAATAGCAGGGGCGGATCCAGAATTATTCAAAGGGGGAGGGATGGGGGAGGCACAACATATTCAGAATAGATAAGTGAGAGTGCCAATTTCAATATATACCTTGAAATTAAAAAATTTAGTGGCCCTACTGGATCTGCCCCTGAATAGATATTGTTACAGTATAGTAATTGTTGTAATTTTAAAATTATGAGATTTTATTAGAATCAATATTTTTTATAATTTATCTCTGCTTCAATTTTGTTTTTATTTTTTTGTAGGATGTTCTATAGATACTTGTTTATTGTAAATTAATATAATAATATTGGAGGCCCTAATTATGAATGATTTTATATTTGTAAAGCCTCATCAAATAGTTTTTTGCTCTATGGTGTATGTGAAGGAATGTACTGTACAGTAATGCATAGTTGTAGACGGCCATTTTGTCGTCTGCTATCTCACAGTTCTACAGACTTGCTTTTCGTCAGATCTGCTAATTTTTTCAAGGATTTGCTGTTGTCTAGCATTAGAGTCAAGAGATTCTGTAGTTTCTTGATAGTTGATTTAGAGTGCAAATATCAAAGGTTATTTGGTAGTGATTGTTTCAGCATTGCTTTAACTGCTAATACATTCTGCAGATAAAGCATCCATTAAACTACAATTATGTTAAATAGCATCATGTTCTGTAATGAAATTAAAATTGTAAAAAAATTTATGTATTGATAGAGTAGATAATGGAATAGTTAATTTAACATTGTTATACATTTGCTAAAGAATTTTAGAGTACTTGTTACTCAATGAAATTTTCTATTTTTGAACTCCAAGTAATCTATGAAGAATTAAGTACAGTGATATTGATAATGCAGCCTAGGACATGGAGGTATACCTCCATGCCTAGGAGAGCCCTGTGATGGTTTTGCACATTTTGTGTATTTTGGATTAATATCCAGGCTTAGCAGCAATTTTTTTTGTAATAATGATAATAATAAATGATTGAATAGTTACATCTGGTTTTGTATCGATGTCAACATCAACGTATTGGTTTATTTATTTAAAAATATTTTAGAAATGATAATAATAATTGCGAACTAGTGTATAATGTAAATACCTCTATACGCTTTACACCTGGAAGTGAGGTAAATTATTTAACGGTTCACCTAATTAAGGAAATAAATGAATGTCAACTATATAAATATTATTAACTTTATTTATTTCAAGTTATGAATCATTTTGAAAAATATAGTAATTTTAAGTTTCTTTGATCTATTTTATTTATTAATTAATTTTCAAATATCTTCTTTCGTGACCTTATAATACCTTGCCTTTCTTTTCCTTATTTGTTCATGTTTTTTCTTCCGTTTTCCTTTCATTCCTTTCTTTTCTTTTCTAATACATTTTCCTTTTTTGTTCCTTTTCCTTTTCTTGCCTTTCATTTTTCTTTTCTTTCCTTTTCAAATGTCTTGTTCTTTCCTTTCTCTGTTCTTTCTTTACCATTTCCTTTTCTTTTCCTTCTATATCTTTCAACGTCTTTCCTTTCATTTCGTTTGCTTTACATTTTTCTTTTCCTTTTCTCTTTCTTTAGCTTTCCTTTTCCTTTCATTTTCCTTTCTATTTTATTTTATTAATAATAATGGTAGACGCTTTGTTAATCCCTCAATGCGCTTCACTTTATCATTACCCCGGTCATTGGATAAAATGCCTATGGAACACAAACTCACCTCCCTGGGGGAGTATTCCATAATGTTGCAGCAGCATCGGTGCATTTTGGCATTTAACCTTACCAGGTACCCACTTATACTCCTGGATTCAGCGAAGCAATGCAGATAAAGTGCCTTGCTCAAGGACATAAGTGAAATGCAGAGAGGAATTGAAATCCTGACCTTGGGGTTGGCAAACCAAACCGTTCCCGATGCACCAAACCACAGGAAACTTCCTTTCATTTTCTCTTTCTCTTTTTTCTGTCTTTCATTTTCTTTTTCTTTTCTTTCAAATTTCTTACCTTTTCCTTTTTCTTTTTCTTTTCCTTTCATTTCCTTTTTTAATACCTTTGTTTGTAATTTTGGTGTTTCAATTTATTTTGTAATGTCCTTAAAATTAAAGTTTAAATGGAATATTCATGTTGCTTGTAAAAGCTCTTTAATGAAATAAGTTTAAAAGGCATATCTGCAGTTACAAGCACGTATTCCTTGCCATGTTCTGATTGGTCAGTTAAGTTTGATTGACACTCCTAAAAGCTCCATATTTTTTTATTTATTTAATCATGATGTTTGTTTTACAATTTGATACAAAGAATATAGAAGCACTGTGCAATGTGCGCTATATAAATGTAAATTATTAATTATGATTTATAATGTGATAGCACTTTCAGTGATGCAACACTGGATCACATGAAAATCACATAAAAATGTGAAGGAAATGCAAATCAGAAATAAAAGTCAAATCACAATCACATAGAATGTTATTTCCTGGAGTGATTATTTTTTTATATTATTTTTATTATTATTTATTATTCTTTAATTTTTTTATTATTAATATTTATTATTAATAATAACTATTATCAATTAATTAATATTATTAATCATTATTATTAATCCCCATTGGATTCTGGATTACTTCTTTTCCGTAAAATTCTATTTATTTAATTTTCCGTAATTTTATTGTCTGTTACAGAGTGATACAAGATGGTGCTAACCAGCATGGCTTTATGGATCATCTGGAAAATCGTATTGTAGAGCATGATCGTGATATTGAGCGCATGTGCAACTTCCATTACCAGGGATTTGTGGACAGTATAGGGGAGTTACTGAGTGTCAGAATCCATGCAGAGAGGCTCAAGGTATTGGGAGTAAAATGTATTAATTGATTTAGCTTCCGTATGAGTGAGTTTGCCATATGTACATTTCCTACTAGCCACATACATAGCCTAAGTATTGTAGCAGTACATTTCATTTGGTACTATTTTAGATAAATTCTACATACAAGATACACACACAAGATGCAGTGTATACATCAACCCAGTCTTTAATGAACGATGTGTCTAGAGGTATGCTACCGTATGCTTTCTCGGTAAAGAAAGTTATGGTTGGCAACACCTAGGGACACTCACCATTACCAAGATAGCATACGGTAACATATTCCTAGTCACTGCCTTTAATAATAATGAAAATAATAATAATAATAACAATGTAATCTTAATGAAGATGTAAAGAGAGTGGAGCTGTTTTTGGTCATGAGAAGAAATTTGGCAAAAGTTAAACCCAGGACCCAGGTATTGTTAATAGGCTCAATCAAAGATACAGACTTTTTGATCCAGAAGCGGTTTAGCCCAACCAGAACGGCTTTGTTTCCCAATCTTGGGGTTTCCCAATCTTGGGGTTTCCCAATCTTGGGGTTTCCCAATCTTGGGGTCCGGGTTTCAATCCGTCACTGTGCATTTCGCAAGTAGCAGCACTTAAACATGTGGATCGAATGACCTGTGAAAAGTACTTATTTGAAAAGGAAGGATATAAACAAATGAAATACAATAAATAAAAGTATACGAACTAAAGGCGTATCCTACACAGAGTGCTACTGCTGCATGGTACAACAACAAAAACATTCTGCAGAGTAGTGCAATCTACACAGTTGTATGTTGGACACAGGATTGTGGTTTGTCTACATGCTGACTCTTTTTAAATGATTGCAATTTGTATGCTGAATGAAATGTAGCTCTGTTGCATAAACATTTTACATTCAGTGTGAAGCACCATAAAGAATATATTATTATACCCTACCAATTTTATGCTGCAGTAGCTTGCCGTGCTTGCGCTTTGTTCAAATACAGTAGTCCTGCAATCAGATAAAAAAATTATCCTGATGAAAACAAATTGTGCATCTTTCTATGTAGAAAATGTCTGATAAGAATTGTCTGACAAACAAAAATCTGTTAGTTTTTACTTGGTTTTATGATATCTATTTCTTGATTTGTTCAGATTGTTTTATTGGGGAAGGATGGGGAAATTGAAAAAGGCATCTGTAGGAAGTAGTGATTATTACCGTTTCCTAAAACAAGAATTTTCTAACTTTGAGCAGTGAATGAATTGAGTGAAAAAATATTGTTTAACTTTGTATTGCACATTTTTTGTCCATTTTTGCATGAAAGAGTAGTAAAAAGTATGAATGTAATGAAAAATGTTAATATTTAATAAAACAAATTACAAAGAAAATCTGTTAGATAAAATTGCATTCTTAAGCTAAATGAAAGCTATAATCATATTTTACACTGTTATTTTTTTTTTTAAATATTCATATTTAACTAAAATGGCAAAATTAATAGACTGTTAAAGTTTTGTAAGCTTTCATCAAAGCAGAAATGAAGTAATTTATTCATTGGGAAACATAATTGGCTTGGTTTGTGGTTAACACAATTATAGAAAAGTAATATTGTTAGAATGATTGTGCTTATTTCCAATAAAAATTAATTTAATAGTAATAGTAAGGTTTAGCGATTATAATCGCATGTACTTCTATTACAGATAATTTCTAGTATAACCTTTTTTATAATTCTGTGGAGTGTTAGATTATACTATATTTTTTATATTTTCGTTTTGTTATTGATATTCAGGGAAATCATTAATAACGTCTTATTAAATACTGTATGGTATTACTGCCTTGTCCTCAATTTGTTATTTGTTAAGCACATATCAGGAGCAAATATTGTCAATGTAACAATTATTAAAAATGTTTTTCATTCATTTTTGGGGCTGGAATGAAATATATTTATTATTTGGCCTTATTACAGTACATGTCAAATTTAATAAAATATTAATTATTTCATGTTTTTTAATTTTTATTCACTGTAACCTGTGATTGAATTTTTGTTATCTGTGACTAAAAGTGGTTATACTAACTGTACACATTGATTTGCATTTGCAATACTAATGTATGTTCCAATGTACCGTACAATGTACTGCGATGCTCAGGTGTAGTTACTCTAAGTGTTTTGTTTTTTTTTGAAACAGCATTCAGCTGTAATATTATCTCGTAAATGTCACAAGGAAAGATGTTGATGTATGATTATTATATGAGCTGTTCTATGTATTTCTGGATAGTATAGAATGGATCCTTTAATGTATAATTATGATATGAGCCATTCCATGTACTCCTGGATGGTATAGAATGGATCCTCTGAATGTAAGATTATGATATGAGCTGTTTTATGTACTCCTGGTTAGGTTAGACTTTCTTTGTTTCACAAACTCTTTTTTTTAAAGGTCGTCAGAGGAGGGCGGAAAAAAAAATAAAAATAAAATTTTGTTTTCTTATGGTTTTCAAATGGTTTTGTCAAAAACATTTAGATAGAAGAGAAAATAAAAATAAAATGTTTTTTGTTAAATGTAAATATTGTAGTAATGGGATGGTTAAATGCTTTAAATTTATATAATTAGGAAGGAATACTGTACACATATCTCATTTTTGGAGATTTCAAGGCAATTTTAAATAACTTAAATAACGGGTGTGCTAATTGGCCAAAAATAAATTTTTATTTTTATTCAAAATCATTATTATTGGCGGGCGACGAACTCGCTAAAAAAGGTATAAAAAAAGTTTCGCCTTCATATCGATTGGATACTTTGATACTATGATATTAGTCATTATTTGTACTCCTTGTCATTGTAAAACTACATTACAAATATAAATAGTATGTTGTATTTATCAATGTTAATTTTAATTCATCGTAAAACTACATTACAAATATAAATAGTATGTTGTTTATCAATGTTAATTTTAATTCATTGCCAATATCATAATAATCAACCTATCATCGTCATTTCAGAGCAGAATACTAATCTGAGTTTTAAACTCCTTTCCTGGAACACCAAATATGAAAAAAATATGTTTTATTTAATAGCATTTGGAGATGTTTTTTATTTAACTGAATGAAGGGAACAACTACAGCCTGAATGTTGTGTTGCTTCATCATCATCATTATCATCATCATCTTAATCATCATCATCATCATCTTCATCTTCTTCTCCATCATCATCCTTATGTATGCTTTGTCCTTATCATGAAAGTTGGTATAATACTTAGAAGGAAGTCAATGATATTCATTAATTAGATAAATATATATTGATATTAAACTGCTGTTATAAAAAACAATAAAAATATGTTATAAATTTATCTCTCACAACAGAAAGAAGTCTTAGACACAAACAAAGCATTACAGCAGTCAGGTAAAGTGCTAATAGAGAAGGCAGAAGAGTTAGCGCTATTGAGACAAACACAGAAAAACATTGTCACCACGATGGAGAGGTTACAAGTGTGCCTACCAGGTAAGCAGTTGCAGGGGTCCCAAGTTGCCCAGAAATCATGTTTCGGGACGGCCTCCTGCACATCCGCAAGCAAGAATCTCCTGGGAAATAACCCATCTCCCGCAAATTCATGATACTGTATTTGCATGTTTTTACAACTTTCAGGGGTTTCCCTTAAGGTTTTTTTTAACCAGCCAAGTGGACCAGTAAACTAATATTTTTACTGGTCCTCAATCCCTTTCACTAGCCACTATCTTGCCAACTTCGAAAGGCCCAAATACCATATTTGTGACATGCTAATCATGCAGTCCATCACCGATGAAATAACACTGACAGAGATACAGAAAAATCGTTCTGTTGTCTCTGTATGAAATTATGCCGCGAAATATAAATACAGGAATCTAATTGTATGTACAGTGCACACAATACGATGTTCGGTACGATGTTTGGTTTTTCAGAAAGATCGGTTTGTGGAACATTTCTATTGAATCCTTTCCGAATAAGGTAGGCCAGTTAGGGCCTAGCCTAGACGCTAATATAATAGGCTTCGCATAGCCCAGTCAGTGAATTTGTTATGACTAGCCTACGAAAAGTTAACGTATGTATACGAAAAGTTAACATATTATATATATATATAATACGTACATTACCTGTTGTTTAGCTGCAGTGCACAGCAAATTGAATTACTGTACCAATAAAATGAATGCTTTTATATTGTTTTTACGTGCATTTTCGGTCTGACATTTTTTTATAAACTGTAAACACAACACATTTTTCGCGGTCACATGCGAAATGCATTGTAAATATCAGGTCGCGCCTCCTAAACTCTGCCCGCTAATTGGTTAATTTTTTTTCGTGGGGTCATGTGGCTAGGCAAAAATCCCATGTGCTTGGCTGTCATGACGTCAGATCGCCCAAACTTTCATAGTGCGTGACAGCTTGCTGAATTTTTAATTAAACAAATTTATTAAAATAAATAAGAAACCCTCGTGGTTTTGTTTTAGAGTCAAATCTAAAATAAATCTTATTCAAATTTAAATGTCATTCTCTGCAAATTTCCTCTGTAATTAGCAATGTTTTTGGGGAATGTGAGTGTAATTTACATGTAGACTGATATATGAATCTAATGACATACCAAATCCGAATTAAACGTCTACTGAAAAAGAGCCATCGTAGAAACAATTCCTTTTTCATTTCAGGTTGATTACAATCAATTTTTAAGTATTCATAAGGCGATAATGCACTTTATTAAAACAATGGAAGGCGTAACTATCACTTTATCCAACATTTTACTGGCGTATCATTTTAATTAATAGATAATCTCCATGACAACGCTATTGGGACTATGCTTTGTACGGAAATCGTTGCGTTTATTAACTTTTTGTCCCACATTGCATTGTGGGATGGATACATGACATGGATGTTTTAACTTCACTGTGCCCACACAGACAGAAATCAAATCCTCCTTGTCGCTGTAACATGCGGAGAAGGTGATTTTCCTCTGTACGTCTAGCCATGGATTCCTCCATGGCCTAGCTACTGCGTGATGTTCATCTGTACTGAGCCCAAAGCTGTTCGTAGCTTACATATAATAACATGACAATAAACAGAAAATAGCGATCTTGTTGACATTATCTGTGTGAAATATTTTGTAAAGACATCGTTAAGAGGTGAATGAGTAAAACTTTAGGTATTTTGTCAGAAATTTTAACTGGTCATGCGGACTTGTTATTGGGATAATTAACAGGTCCGCCATGCATTTTACTAGCCATTGGCCGGCGGACCAGTGTTATTTTGAACCCTGACTTTATTATCATTTGTCTCGTGGAAGTCAGTGCCGATATTGTAATCACCATGTGCGGCAAAATAAGATTAAATATGTTAAGAAAACTCATCTACCCAGATCTCCTAGAAGAGATTTCTTCCAACTTGGGACCGCTGGTAATTAACATACACAGACACAAACACGCAGATTAATCGTCACAACCTCACAAAATGCATACCAATATCCAAATACACACAGATAAAGTACAGTACATATACACATAGACATACCCATAACCACACACACACAGAATGCATACATACACTGAAGATGCATCAATATTAATACATGGATGACATAGCTCTCAGAAGGTTTGGAAAATATGCTTGGACTTTGTCCTTATTGGAGTAATCTCACAAATACAGATGTGTTTGAAAATAGCCTTGATGAGTTAATAATATTATTAATCATTAATTTGTCCAGAACTTACTTAAAGTAAGAAAGTATAATACATATTCCAAGTATTGAAATACACGCCATCGTGTTGGGATTCAATATTTTGACATTAATTATGTCATCATTATGTCATCATCTTTCCTGATGATGACATAATTAATGTCGAAATATTGAATCCCAACACGATGGCATGTATTTCAATACTTGGAGTATGTATTATACTTTCTTATCTGAGATTAATCAGTGGACCTTTCGGTTTTTTTACTTAAAGTAGTAGGAAGAAACCTATATGATAAATATTTTAGTTCATGTGACCTTTGAAAAAATTAACACTCAGGACATTGAATTAGATTTTGTATCTTCGTTTAATTTATTCCATACAAAATTAATTCTTTCATTCATGCATTCATATATTCATGCATACATTCATTCATTCATTCTTTATTTTTGGAGCATTGATTTTTTACTAATACTGTATATTCATTTATCAATGATTGATGTATCAAGAATTTATTTACTAAAAGAGTAAGCCCAAAATATATTTTATACTAATTCATTTTGGTTCATGTTGCTTTTTAAAAACTCAGAATTTCAAATTAGTGTTTGTAACTTCATTTATTTATTCTGTTCAAAATTCATTCATTTTTCAGTCATATAAGTTCATACATTCATTCTTGCATATTAATAGTTCATTCATTCATTTTCATTCATCGTAATTACATTTAAAGTCCTTTACAGTATATCGCAGTAATTTATTGCATTATATTCATAGGTATAATGTGGCAGTTTAACCAACTCTGTACTGCGTTGCTGTTTCAGTTATTGTTGTGGTATTCATGTATTATGACCTTGGTATTATTCTAGTTTTATTACCACCTACCATCATATTTCAACTGGTATCTAGTTTCATGACTTGTCACAGCATGTGTATACACTACCTATTCAAATGATATTACCATGGCAGTGATGAAAGCTACCAATTGTTTGATTGATTCAGACTGAAATTGGTATACTAAGAAAGATGTTCTTAGTATATATTTTAGAGAGTTAGAATGAAAGATCAAGCCAATTTATTTTAATGTATATTATGTTAGTTTCAAGTTGAAGGATGTTCATCAGCTAAATATATATTTGTTCAATCTTTATCTGCTGCTTCAACCATCAAAATGTGTTCCACATTAACAGTAATATTTAATATTTATATAAAACAATTTCATAAGAAATATGAATACAAGTGCCACAGTATGTACAGTATGTGTATACAGAGTTGTCAAATATCTAAAGGCATTTATGTCTGCGTGCTTCTACCAACTGGTTGATTTATTTTGGTCCGCCGATCAATTGGATTTGAAAGCAGTTAATATTGAAGGCACCAGGGTGCAAAATAAAAATAAATTACATCAAGGATTTTAAATTGAGAATTACTATACGATGGAATGAATGCATTCCATACGATGTTGTTGCAGGTTGTTTTAAAAATGGGGGAAACAAATTTTTTTCTGACAAAAATTGCCAGCATTTCAACTACAGTAAGCAGTATAGTGCTATTGAGGCTATGATAGAATAATCAATTTCCATTGATTTATCTTTTTTTTTATTATATATTTTAAATATAATTTAGTTTTATCTTCAACAAATAAATCATGTTTTGGTTTACATTACAAAAACAAAATAAACTATTCAATGGATTGAGACAGCATTAAGTTGGTTGTACTGTTTAATTTGAGACAAATTAAAAACAAATTATTAAATAGAATTCAGTTTCAATATTGGAAAATTGATTGATTGGTGCTATTTTATTTCTTACATATAATTTGATTAATATTTTTTCAATGCATGTGTCTATATGAGCTTGTATGATCATATTATAAATCACTTTGAAATGTCAGTAATTTGGTTCATTGCTTTTCACATCACATTGATGTACAGTAGTTATAATATTTCAAAGATCTCAATAAAAGATAATCAAAATGCCAATTATTCGGTTCACTGACAACAAATACTTTATAAAGATTTTTTTAAAAGTCTAGAAATTATCATATGGACAGAATATCAAAATGTGATGTTTCTTGTTATTTTCTTTCCCAGTCTTGGAGATGTACAACAAACTGAATGAGCAGGTGGGCAATAAAAGGTAAGACAGACAAATATTCTCCTCAACTTACGTCGTCATGCAAAGTAACTGTTGCCATTAAATTTAAGTAAATTTGCTTGTGTGAATTTAACATAATGTAGATACTGTACATTTGAGGAGCATGAACATTAAGAACAATGTTTATTAATGTTCACACAAATGTCAATTTATATACAGTATTTGTATTTTGATTTGTAAATCATTTAATCAAGCTTATCTGGTATCATATATATAAAAAAACTGTGTTATCCTTCATTAATTTTTTGTAGGTGAATGGAACTGCGGTTTTATGACTTTTACTTTCCAATATCTTGGGCTTAATCATAAAAAAGACTTTACTTTACCAAAATCAACTCTCCTTTTTAGATATTTTTAGAAATTTTTTTATCATAATATTTTCTTTCTGAATTTCCTCAGGTACTATCCTGCTTTAAAAACTCTTGAGCAATTAGAGCACACATACCTTCCCAGAGTGCAACGGTACAGGTTTGCAGAAGACATGGCGGAGAACATCCCCAAATTGCGTAACAGCATCAAAGAGGCTTCTATGATAGACCTCAAAGACTTTCTTGAAAGCATTCGCAAGAATTCTGATTGGATTGGCGAAGAAGCAATGAAACAGGTAATTAGTTATAAGGTGTTATATTTCTCATGTTTTGACTACTTAATTGGAAAATAATTAGAAGTGATCTAAACAGAGATGTTCTTCATGCTTTAACCTTGCTACAAGCTCTTTTGTATCTAGCTTTGATGTTTGTCAGTTTTCTTATTAGTCATCATCATCATCTTTATATTTGTACATACCTCTTTTTTAATTACGTGCACAGTGTTTGTAATTGGTCACTACACATGGAAACAATCCCTTATACTCTGATTTACGGACATGATGATGTCATGTTAAACCAAACATGGGCACAGTACATATTTTTGTCACAGAAATCCTTATAGTGTGAAAAGATTCTTTCCCATATGTATGCATAATGATTTGACAGGCAATGGTTCTATAGTTATCTGCACACTAAAATGCAAAACACTGTCTTTTATTATGGGCCTAATTATTGTCTTTCACTTCCTAAATCTATTAAGTCCATTGCTTGTTTCAATCAATTTAAAACTAAACTTAAATTTGAAATAATTGTAAAGTATCATTCACCATAAATTGAACCTGATTTACTCAGACATTTCTTTTGGTTCTTGCTTGGTTTGTTGGTGTTTTTTATTTTTTGTTTCGATTTTTGTGATGTTATTCCTTGCATTGTTTAGTATAGTTTACTGTAGTTTAGCTCCAGGGCCACCTTAAAGGCTTTTTCCCCCTTGGTTCCCAGCACTTGTTATTGTTAAGAATAATTGAATAAGGTGAATGACTGATCTCTAAGGCTCAACACCCACGATGTTGCTACCACCTGTTTTAGCTGACTGAATTATTCAAAGACAAAAAATAAATCAGGTGCCTCATAGCCAAAAGCATATTGATTAGAAATTCATTAGCAAAAAAAAATATACGGGATGGCATTTTTAGGTTGAACCAGGGCTTATATTTTTCACAGCCATTTAAATTCTTATTATTTTCTTTACTTACCATTAAGTTTATTTCTTGTGTTAATATGGATCGTTGATCATTTATTTAGGCTGAAAAACATTGTAACTTGGAAAAGTCGGATGTATTAACAAACCCAAAAAGCTCATCATTAACGGAAGCAGATTCATCACCAGAAGAAGGAGTTGAATTTGATGATATGGTGAGAATTTTACTTATTTTATACGTAGAATCTTAAAAAAAAAAACATACTGTGCCTTTTGTGGACTAATAATGGGACTGAGCGTAGGGGGTTAACATTTCAGCCCCTGTCGTTGTAGAATTATGTGAACATCTATCTACATGAAGCACCTCTCTAAGATTACTAGGTAGTCACAAACCACGCCCATGTGCAATTCAGCACAATGAAACTGCAAGTTATTCTCCTACTTTACTTTACCTTTATCAAATAAATTTGAAATATCTGCCACAGGAAGTTCATAACTTAGGTTCTCCAGATTTTTTTTCTACAGAAAGTAGATGTGTAATTTAAGTTAATCAAAAATATGCTATCGATATTATATTTTGTTTATTTCTAGGAGGTTAGTGCTCAAGAAAAAGTAGATTTTGCTCCAGTTTACCGTTGTCTGCATATCTACTCGGTGCTCGGAGAAAGGGACACATTTGAAAAGTACTATCGAAATCAACGGTCAAAGCAAGCACGGCTTGCTGTCCAACCTGTAGGGAATATGGTGAGTGCTTTTTGAGTACCGATCATATCACAACTGACATTTGCATCTAAATTTTCTATAATAATATAATGCCTGTAGGACAAGTGTTTATGAATCAATGTAAGAATACATTGCAAGGGCAGCCAGGTTGTACGCTATTAATCCTGGCACAAACTGCATCATTCGCAAGTCATACGACTATTGGCTGACAAATCCGTTTTCATTCTCTGTAAGCACTTGACGATGCAATGCAGTCTGCTGATTGTCAATGGTAATCTGAGTGGATTGTCATTAAAAAGGATCTTTTACGTGCGCCTTGTCGTGTTGCATTGTCCATGAAATCGTGTCAGCCAATAACCGTTGGACCAGTATGTGCCTGGCTAAACGCTCATCAACCGTTGATTGATCAAACATTATTTGACAGTGTATGCGCCGCCCTAGATATGTCTGATCAAAGAAATTATTTGTCTGTCTTTGACCACAGAGTGTTTTAATAATTATGATAATAAAATTGCTCTACAATTTTTTTTCAGTATGACTCCCGAGAAAGTTATGAGAAATACTTCCATCAGATATTAGGGTGTGTATTGCAGAAATTTTATAAATTTAGGTGTTTAATGTGTAAAGTAATATAGTCAGCTTTATTCAGTTCAGAAAATGAATTTGTAAAGAAAGTGAGATTCAAATTATTAACTACAAATTTTAATAGGGAACAGAAAGATTCGAAGTTTGAGATTGAAAGAGAAAATGAACTACAGTAATACGAAACATAAGATGCTAACTAAGATATTAAAACAGGTGCAAAAATTGTGATTTTATGTTAAAGTATTTGAGCATAAGCAGTGAGTTGTAAACTAAAAGGTCTGAACTGAAACTGTACTTAATACTATAATAGAAAAAGTAACTACTTACTAAGTAAGATATTGGAACAGGTACAGAAAGTTCAGAATTAATTTTGAGATCTTACATCATCAGATTTTTGCTTTGAGACTCAACAGGCAATCAGACTGTGTGTCATTAGTTTATACTATCTTTATTTCAGACATATCTGACATATCAGATAACAATTTGTGTCTTTCCATATCAAACAAAGTTCATCAAACATCTGGCATTATGTCTGACAGGCAAAATCAAATTATGTGTATTTTGTTGGTGTTATATTATGTTGTTAATAAAATACAAATCTCAATGGAGGCATATATATGATGAGGCTATGCAATGCATCTCAGCCATTAAGAGTTCTAAATGTTTACTTTTTCATCAAGCATTGATCAAACTGTGAAAACAATGCATTGCCATATTTAAACATCATGTAATGTAAATGAATGAATGTTAATATTGGTAATGACTACTTCTTAATGCTTTTTTTTAGATTCTTTGTTGTGGAAGATCATATTTTAAATACGACGGAAGGCCTGATTTCACGAGAATACTTAGACAGTTTATGGGATTCATCACTGACTAAAATTATTCAGATTCTTCAAACTCAGACTGTAAGTTGAAACTCAAGTGAAAAATTTGAACAACAATAGTTATCTTCGACCGGAATTCGGGATGACCCAATTAAAGAAGATTAGTTTCCATTGGGGTCCCAGTAAAATATTGATGAACAACAGACAAAAGAAGAAAAAGAAAGAACAAAATTTAAATAATACTTGCAGAAAACATTCACATTCAGAGGAACTAGGCATGACTTTGTTGGTTTATTTATTAGATGTTGTTTTAATGTGCATTTAAGTGTGTGAACATTGCCAATTTCCTTCAAAGAAACCGTAACGGGATCCCTTTTAGAGATGCAATTGTTGGAAAAGGTAAATTATAAATGCGGTTTAAATTTACCTGTGGATAACATAGGATTAGTTCTTTAAAAATTCTTCCCTTAAAAATATGTTCACCATATGATGATAGTGTGATGTTTTTTCATAATCTTCCAAGTATTGTTAATTAACCTCACAGTCAGGGCTGAATAAAGTGTGTTTTTTTTTTGTGAGGCAGCATGAATGTCCCGGAAGCATTTTGGGGGAAAAAAATTCCAAACAATAAACTTGTGGGCTATACTCAGATAACACATGGTGCTGGAGGCATTTATCAAGACAATTTTCATGGTCGGACACAACAATTGACATGTCGACAAGGACACGAAGCCCCGCCCACAAAGTCACGAAAACCTTAGACAATGGCGGCTAGACTTACCGAGTTGGCGAATATTTTCTTTGCTATCAACCTTCTTTAAGAAAGAGAATTCAGGGTAGGCGGTATGCAAATGAATCGTATATTCATAGTGTTAATCTATTTCATGGAACAGGCGGGGAAATTGTTGTAAAAGCCTCTTCCCAAAGGAAGAGGGAAAAGCCTCATTCAATCCACCTCGTTGTCGGCAAAGGCCAAGTCACTGATGCGCACTGCGCTCGTGTAAATTTGGGTATCTATCACCAAGCATAGATATCTAGGCCTAGGCTCGCATATGTTTCGCGTTGACAACCAGCTGTTTAAGGAAATTAAAATGTCCGAGAAAAAGTTTTTGATCATGTGACTAAATGACGTTCACTGATTAGTCGGTTTATCTGTCGATCAAATCTTGTCGAGATGTTAATTGTTTTTCCAGGCCTGCTCACAGTCAACAGCTCACAGTCAATGTGCGCTGTTGACAATACCATTGTCAGAGCAGCGCTATATAAATCCTTGTTGATTGATTGATTATTTGATTGATTTATTGATGTTTTTTTTTTGCTTTTTTCAGGCTTCATGTACAGACGCCACTATTCTTCTACAAATTAAGAACACTATTGTAATATTCGGACAAACATTAAGGGTAAGTGTTGATGGTGACAATAGAAATTATCATGTAAATTTAAAAAGTTATATCTGTGTTATAATTGAAATAAATATATTTGAATAATTATTTAATATGTATTTATATGCTTCCTGTTTCACTTGCAAATGTCATCCAAAATAGAATTGACATGAAAAGAAATTAAATGAATATTTGAACAATTTTATGCTTTTTAGTTTTTGCATATTAATCTTCATATTTTTTTTTCTTTATAGAGCTACGGATTCAATGATAGTAGAGTAACAGAACTTCTTATGGAACTTAAAGACCAGTACAGTGAGATTCTAATGAAGAAGTGGGTCAAAGTTTTTAGGTAAAGTTATTGCATTTTATTGTGTTGTATGGAAAGGTTTATAATTGATGCTATTATCATTAATTATGAATAATGATGGTTAATTATTTATTAAATGTAATTTATTTATTGATTAATTGCAGTTAATTATTATTTAATTGCAGTTTATTTTTTTGTTTTGTTTTGTTTTGTTTTTTGCTTTTCTTTGTGGCTTTTTTCTTTGTGTTCTTGACTTCAATATTGTCTAGCGCATAGAGACCTCGTTTATTTGCGCTATATAAATCCATCTATTATTATTATTATTATTATTATTAATTGTGTTTTATTGAAAGTTTCAATATTACAGCATAACTCAATATTACAGCCTGACTAAAATTGATTCCTCCTTTTAAGGAGTTAGGTGCTTGAAACCTGGTTCTCATCCAAGATTCACAAATTCAGCATTGTTAGTCCCAGATGCAAAACAAAAAGCTGTGCTGACTGCTTTTTTCTGTTTTGGAACTCACTTCCTACTGATTGTTTTCCTTAAGTTTATGACCTCCGTTTATTTAAGAGGAATGTGAATTCTTTTCTTTTAATATTCTGAGCACTTCATTTCTATGCCATTACCTGAAGTGCCTCTTGACCTTGTTTTAAGCGATTTTCTGTAAAAACAAACAAACAAACGGGGAAAAAAAAATCAAAACTACTGTTCATGTAATTATCACATAAATTTAGTACTATATTTATTAAAAATGATTGTATTTTAAAATTATTTTTCAGTGATATCTTCTTTGAGGATAACTATACAGCAATGGTGGTACATAATCAGGAGGAACTAAATGACGTCACAAGGGGATTTCCCTTTACAGATGAAAAACAAACCAAAGTAAGCAAAGATGTGATTATATTACTAATAAAATTATATGAAAAGAGTATGGTATTGCCCTATCCATGGTATTTCCTCATTATAATATTGTGCAGCTTTGCTATAAAATATTCATAATTTCAATTGGTGTTTATTTTATTTTTTTATTTGGAAAAATATGGGTATATGATATGACTTTTGCTGTAACAATTGATTTTACAATGTGTCTGATCCAATATTTAGAGAAGCTGTTTCTTAGTGTTGAGACGCTTGCCTTCTAATCTTAAGATCCTGGGTTCAAATCCTTCCAAGTCACAAAGACATTTTTTTTTCTCATGATTGCTGGCTCAGACACAAAGAGACCCTCAAGGGCTTTGCGACTTGTGTATTATATGCTATATAAATCCAAATGCATAATAGATCATGAGGGAGAATTGTAGTTTTCTACTGAATAGGTGTCCCAGTTTATATATGAAATATATACTAAATAAGGATAAGTTTCTTGCTTAATTTCTTGTTTTTTCCAGGTTACATTTCCCAAGACTCTGCCATTTTCAGCATTTGTACCAAAAGTTTATCACCAAATTAAGGAGTTCATCTATGCATGTCTCAAGTTTTCTGAAGACTTGAAGCTAAGCCAAAATGAGATGGATGATATGATTAGAAAATCAACAAATATTTTGTTGACCAGGACTTTGAGTGGATGTCTCAGTGAGCTGATCAGGAAACCACTTCTAGGCCTAGCTGAGGTAATGTATGATAGAGCTGTATTTATCTTATATTATTAACTAACTTAGATAAGTAATATTAATAAAAAATAATAAAAGTAAAGGCAATAATGAAATGCCTTGTTATGATCATGTCAGTATATTGGATTTAATTTGATTTACAGCTTGTTCAAGTGACCGTGAACACAATTCATCTGGAAAATGCCTGTAAATATTTAGAAGATTTTATCTCCAACATCACTGGGTATGTTTTCAATTATATTTTCAATTTGAGTGAGTACACCCTTTAAAAAATTAATGGAATAGTCAGCTCCTGGCATCCTATATAAGTCACACTGCACAAAAGTTCAGCGCATATCTGTTCATTAATTATCGAAAGGTAATGTCACTTTATAGAAAATTGTCAGTAGATAGTGTTGTTTCTCACACATAGATTACCAATATTGATTTAAAGTCAGGCTCCGGAGGAAAACAATTTTTTGATATGTTGTAGAACTGATTTTTCTAAGACAGAAAAAGTAATATTCAAAAATCTGTATCTCATTCACTGTTGCTTAGTTTTTGATCAAATTACTTTTTTCTGTCTTAGAAAAATCAGTTCTACAACATATCAAAAATTTGTTTTCCTTCAGAGTCTGACTTTAAAAGCTCAATAAAGAAAATTTTACGCAATAGAACCTCATTAACTTCAACGATTTCCCCATTTTTTTTAGTGCTGTCGGTGAGAACATCTCTGCAGCAGGGCTTCAGAGCAGTAATATATTCCGGGATGCCCGAAGCGAAGCAGAATTGGAAATCTATCGTAAATTGAACAAGAAGATTGATGAGTTCTTAGAGCTTGCTGAATACGATTGGATGCTGGATGAACCCAGAGGTCGTGCCAGCAGCTATCTGCTAGATTTAATAAGCTTCCTTCGCAATAATTTCACAGCATTCAACCATTTGCCAGTAAGTTTAACAAAAGTTATAACTTGGTTACAAATCTTATTTTTGTGAACATTGTAGGAAATTTAGTTTTATTGTTGCTCTTTGCTTTTCCATTTTATGTTTCCCAATTTAATCTAAATTATAAAATACATACATTACAGCACTTATAGGGCACGAAACATGGACCAGCTCATACTTTCTTCTCTCCTTAGGGTCTCCTCATGTCTAAGCTACCCAGTAAACCGGGATAACCCCTACTCATCTCAAAAGAATGTACAATACAGGGTTCTTTGGATCTAATTTAACTTTACAAATATCATTGTTGATTGTATGTTGGTGGACAAAATTTATTTCCTGTGTTATAATTAATATACAATAACAGTTAATAATATTTTAAGCATCAGCTACTAATAAATTTATGTTATTGTAATCAATTACTCTCGCTTTCTTTTTCACCTTCCATGTCATTGTCACAATTAATAAATTAAATTTTGTTAATCATTGTCATCATTCTGTTGTGTATCCATAGGGGAAGGTAGCCCAGACAGCTTGTTTATCTGCCTGCAAGCACCTTGCTACTGGTCTTCGTGAGATGCTCTTGGGCAAGGACAGTGGAAGGATCACAATCGGTGCAATACAACAATTCAGTCTAGATGTTATTCAATGTGAACGTAGGTGTTAATAAATAACCAATTTTTTTTTTCATCTACCTTCATCAAGCTTCATTTATGCAGCCAAAGAACCTTTTTGCTAAGCCCTGCCCCTTGTTTATGTTTGCTAAGGTCCCAGAAAAAGGCAGTGTAAAAAAACCCACCCACTTTCTCAGCAATTAGATACACCAGTGAATGCATGAAAGTGCATGGCACATTTGAAAAGTTTTCAGCTTCTAGCCATAAGATCAGGGTTTGAATCTTGGGCAAAGCATCTCTTCCTGGTTGTTCCTCTACACTAGGGGTACAAGTGGGTATCTGGTAGGTAAAAAAGACCATGTCCTGATTAATAACTGCAACATTATGGAATATTCCCTCAAGGAGCTACTGTAATTTATGCATTCCATAAGTAATATTAGAAACAAATTTTTAGAAGTACAGTAGTTATATTAAGCGTGATGCTGCCTGTCACATGCAAGAATAGATTAAAATTTACAATGTAAACATTTGAGCCTTGCAGATATTATGTGGCAGCTAGTATTTGCTTGTTTTTGGTATTTGTATTGTTATATTATCTGAAGAATAATGAATTATGTAATACTGTAGTTTGTTGAAATCTTCACCATTGTCAGCTCCCACAAACATCCTGTTGACTATTTTGGATGTGATGAGTATGTTATTATCAAGCCTACTTAGTGCTATAGAAATTATTGCTATTTTTTCCTCCAGAATTTGCCAACTCAGAGCCAGTGCCGGGCTTCCGAGAGGGTGCTCTACAGATGACTTTTGTTGAACTACGTCAACTTCTTGATCTGTTCATGGCATGGGATTGGTCATCTTACTTGGCGGACCATGGCCAATCTAAAAGCAAGTACTCTCGTGTCAACCCACACACAGCAATAATATTATTGGAAAAGTAAGTGCCTTCATATTGATGTCATGGCAAGCTTGCTGAAATATGTAATGTAGTACTTCTTACAGATGTGGCTACAGAATAGGGAGAAATGTGGCATATTTGAACCTTAGATATTATGTTTACATATATCGCCAGTGGTGGCGCCTCAGTCGGACCCCTTGCCGGAAACGTTCTGGAACCATATATATCACTTCTGATATTTGAATTTTTAAAATTTATAATGCATTTATTATTATTTTCTTTAGGATGCGTGAAAGTGATAAAAAGAAAAACCTCTTCACAACCTTCAAAAAGAATGAAAGAGACAAGAAGAAACTGATGGATACAGTACTGAAGCAACTACGCGGACTTGCTGGTGGTCAAAGTAGTAGAGGGCAGGTGGTGTGATGGCAGAGATCATTATCACAGAGCTCTTTCAATTGACATGTCATCATCATTTCTGACTTGAATTAACTAATGACACTGGCTTAAGTCTAGTTTCTGTAAAATCTCTACACTGATACTAGTGTTTTCACTGCAATCACTACACTACGTAGTCGTCCCCTACGCAATTATGTAATATTGGCAGTCGAACCAGGCTCAACTTTCTAGAAAAAAGGTTTTGTCTCAATTACTGCACTTTATTTTCTCATACAACAATGGTAGTTTTTAGATTAGGATATCACTGATTAACAACATTTAAAGGAATTTTAAAACATGTTTGATGTTAGTGAAAACTAATGCATAGGGCAATGAAGGCTTGTTCTGCGAATAAACCGCAACTTGTGTACTAATGTACAAATTTCTCTATTTAAACTTGGCCTGTGTCTTAGTGGAAGCAATGTTTAGCTACAGTTTCTGGTTTTATTTTCAGCCTGATAGTCAATATTCTGTGTGATTTTATGGAAACTAGGCTTTATAGGGAGATTATTAAATTTTATTTGACAAATACACAATTTGCCTAAATATGATCATGACGTCACATCATGACCATATATGGGCATACAGCAGTTTTTTGTCACCCAAACTATCAAACTTAATTTGACAAAAACATGACATGTCTAAATAATATGGTCATGATGTCATCATGTGATGACCATATATGGTATATATAAGTTGTTTTTTTTTTATGATCAATAGAGATGGTGCCCCAATAAGGCTAAAGTACTTACTATCACAAATCAATTATGTCCTTAAACAGTATACATTAGTAATAATATTTCATCCAGAAATGTATTACAGAATTTGTATCCACAAAGCCTGTGTCATTTTCTAAAACAGATAATCCTGATTATATCAAGAATGTGTTTTAATGAGAGTGGAGATAAATTTAATTTCTTTTCTTGAAGCCTAATCTAAGAAAAACCTTAGAAAGGGTACATGACAGAATAGATCATAATCAAATTAAGGTGTATGTATTTCCTATTGAGGGCAGTTAGTGTAAAAAAAAAGCTAATATTTCTTTTAAAATATTCGAATTCATAGACTTTTATAGGTTTAAATTTTCAATTTTTTTTTTCGAACTTACAATATAGAAGAGTTTATATTTTATTCTAAGCTTACTTTATAAAATTATCTAAGCATTATGAAAAACTAAAGTATTTGTTAAGATTTTTAAAAATTTACTAGCAATTAATTGAATTTTAGTCCTTTTATATGACAAATACCTCTGATTTTCGTATGCAGGTATATGAGTATGATGTCATATCACAGTCACACCCAAATATGGTCAAGGCACACATATTAGTCAATCTTGATAGTGTGGATAAATCAAGATTATTAAATATACAATCTTGAATAGTCTGCTGCAAGCACATTTAATTAAATTATGAGTCCTGAGAATACCTAATGGACCATTCCACTACACCCTGCTTGTGGGCAGTGTCTGACTAGGGGTCTGAACAAAGAGGCCAACTTGAACCTTGGTTCCAGTAATAAAATCCTTGTTCATGGGGAGCTTTTTTAAGGCTTACTATGGGCCAAAATTGTGCTTTTAGATTACATTATTAGGAAATATTAAAATACTGTACCATTATTTGGATAGGTAAATTAATAATTTTGATGCGTCAGACAATAGGGGGTCAAGGCCTGTCTGAGCATGGAGATATAACAAGCTGGTGCTGCCACTGCCCCGGGTTCCCGGGGTAAAGTTGCTTCTGTCCACAGGTATATATTCCTGGCATTCATTTTAAATCAAAGTATTCACATCCTCTCCAGTACCCATGTCTACTCCTTGGTGCTTTTCTCAAGGACACTAGATTTGACTAATATCTTTTATGTCATGTAATCAAGAAATTTTTCTGTTTCAAAAATGTGTATCATAACATACCAATAAGATGTATATAATTAGGGATTAAAAAACAAACAAATCTCAAATATTGGTTTCTTTTTATTGTCAAAACTAAATATATGTGTTTACAATACTATAACTTAAGAAAGTCTCATTGTTACACACTGCCTTCAGGGTAGCAATTAATCTCAAGAATATTATTATTGTAATAAAAATAATGGTTTATTTGGAAAGCAGTGTAGACCAATCAACGGAGATCACAATGTGCAGCAAATACAAATAAATGTTACAAAAGCTTATTAACCGGATAAGAGTGAATGCCCCCACCCCAAACTTTTCTAAATTAAAACAAATGGAGAAAAAGAAAATCGTATTCAAATTTAAGCCTGAGAGTGCCATTTCCGGCCATCTAGGGGTGTGCATAACCATAAATTTTCCTACCACAGCCACAACCATCTGTGAAAGCCCCTCCCTGCTCTACCAATTGCGAATTCTCAGGTCTGGAGTTGCTCTGAATATATCGAAAGTGGTCGAAGGCCCTAAAAGTAAATTTATTAATATGTTGGAAATACAGTATATAATTTATTTCTCCCCGACGGGGTAAGAGAGGGGAGCTCTCTCCACCGCCCTTCCCCCACACCGGAATTTAATTCTTCCAACTTGAGACCACTCTAATGACAACATATTCAGAATGAGTACAGAAACGTATTTAATACGGAGAAAAACACATATACAGTATTACTCTACTGTAAAAATGCAATGTTGAGGCTTTGTACAAAACAGCTACACTACCATCTACCAATTTCTTAATAGGCATTAATGCATACCTACAACTCGGCTAAAACCACATGCATTTAAAAAAAGTAAAATCAATGCCTAACTGGCTGTCTTATACGAAAAACCTTTAAAAAAAATGGAATCTATAAAACAAAACAGACTAAATATCTGCAGGTATACTACTTACTACATTTTTCTATTCTGTGATTGGCAAAGATACAACAGGAAGACTCATTTAAATAAAAATCTGTGTGAAAGTACACTACATGGTATGTAGTACTGGAATATTAAAAAACCAATTTATGAACCAAATTCCTTGTGGTGGCCTTTTTTACTTCCTCCTTGGCCTCCTTCTGTTTCTCTTCAAGTTTAATATCCAACTTTTTGTGTATATGACATTCCTTTGTTGAATGTTCTCTACTGCGGCATATGTAGCACTGTCTATTTGTGATTGACTTCTGTCTCGGTTTTAATAATCTATTACTTTTTTGTCTTGACTTGACAAAATTGGTATCATCAGATTCTGTAGTTTCATCAGTCAATAACAAATTTATAGCATCGTGATTATGATAGATGAAAGGATGCCATTTTTCTTTCTTTTTTACTTTTTTTCTGCTACGATCAATCTGATATGACTTTTCCTCTGTATCAATGTCACCTTCATTTATGTCGACAGTTTCTGTTGAGTTTGGTTCTGTAGATAAAGTTGCGGTTGCGGTGTTTGCATCAGTTTCTTGGTGAGTTGACTGCATTGCTCGAAGCTTGATTTCTGAGCTTTTGTCAGTGGCTTTAATAGAGGAGGTTTCACGTTTGAGTAAGTCTGGCAAGCTTTCAGGAGTTACTGAAAGGGAGGACAAACAACTAAGTGAAGGAGGTCCAGAGTTGACGGTCGTTGGACTAGAGTTGACCGTGTACGTGGACTGACTTTGTGCTGTGCTTAAATCAGAGATGCATACAACTTCAGTTTCAGCTTCTAGATTGCTTTTCTGCATCTGAATCAATCCACCATTGACATCATTTCCACCTTCACTCTGACGATCTCCAGTCTGATGCCTTTCTTCAGCGTATAGTTCTTTACCTTCATCTACAGAGGTACCAAAGTCTACAGGTGGAGACTTATCTTCAGAATGTGTACAGATTTCTTTGGAATCGAGGACATCTTTGCTTGATGAATTCAGATAAGTACCCACTAGCTTTCTGAATCCCTTTCCAAACAATGAACTGGTCCAGCTAATGCTTGGCATAAGGTCAAATTGAATCCTAGATTTTGATTCAAATTCTGAATTCTCTGAATCCTGAACTGAAATGACATCTGGATGTTCATTATTATCAACAGGAGTACTTGGCAACCCGTGAATGTTGGGGGTCAATATTGCTTGTAGTTTTGATGTGCTTCCACTTGTATCCACACCAGAGCATTTCTGTGCAGAAGTATCAACAATACCAAGAGGTGGATCCTGACAGACTTCCCGGCAATGATGAACATACTTCTTGTCAAGGGCCTTGATCTCATTATTTTTAGTGGCTTTTTCTTTGTGAGCATTGTAACTTTTGTCAGTATCATTGTCCGATGATGGAAATTGACAACCGAGAACAAATTGTTTAATGTTCGGTGATCCTTTCCTCTTTGTCTGCTTTAAAGAGGAATGACGTCCTTGTTTGGTTTTTGTCATCTTATTTTGATTAATACTCTTGACATCATTTAGCCCTTGGTTTTTGTCTGCCTCCTATCGAAGAACCAAAATTAAAAATACAACATTTCTGGGCATAAATATACATGATGAAATTATAGAATCAAGTCCCTGTGATTAACTAGAGGAATGCATGTAGTTTATTACACAAATAATAGGGTGTCTGTGATTTTTTTTTCCACATACCTTAAGCAACTGTTGCTGGGGATCTATCTTTCTTTCCAATCCTAAAAAAGCAGGAGAAATTTATCATCATTGACCTATGACCAATTCCGACCAAGAAATTTCTTTCAGGGCTAAAGTATCCAAAGAGCTTGTATGTTAATCTACCAAGATTCCTGCCAAATTATGGGTACATAGCCCTTTCTTTCTTAATGGCCTGTTGATTTTCAAAACATTTAATCATTTTTGAAAACTAAAAGTACTACTGTATATAACTAGAGATTGTACTAGATGAGGCATCTGGTTATTATTATGATTCTATACTAAAGAATGCAATAACAATACCATACATGCAGGCATCACTTTATTACTGTATAATTACATATTACTTCCAGTAAACAATTTATTAGAACTGCCATAATGAAGTATATCCACATTTTATACAACAAATACATATGTTAAACTACGTATTTTGTAACATTCACAAATATAGTGTGTCAACACCAATGAATCAAAGTACCAAGAACAAGATATTAAATACTTTTTATTTTTATTTTAAACAAAACACTTTAAACATCATTGTATAACAATATACAAAAAAACTCATGTAAAACCATCATCATTTGTTCATTAAATTAATTAAAGCAAAACTATCGTTGGCTCTTCTTATTCTTTTATCTCTCCTCTGGAAACCATTTTTATTAATAACTCTGTTTGACACAGATATTTAGTACAGTACCATAAATGATTAAAATGAATATTTTTAAATCAAAAGTTTGATACAATTAGTAAATTTCTGATTTGGCATAATTCATATTTGCAATTGTAGTTTTAATTTAGAAGTTTATAGCATTTTTACTATTAATATATTACTTATCATTGGATTATGTCTGTCCTTCTATCCAGGTACATGTAACATGTGTAAAAATATAAATTTATTGAAAAAATTATTTCAACAGTAAGTATTCAATTATTTATTATAAATTACAGTTCAATTAAGAAAGTTCATTTAAGCAATTTTAGAATCAATTTAATCATAAATGAGGTCTTATTTTATCCTTGTATATTAATCATTAATCACAACTAATTATTCATTAATTATAAACCAATTAAAATGATAAAATCCATACACAGTATGTGGGTCCAGTCAAGGGTTATGATTCACTATCAATTAAAACAACTAATTTTGAATAAAAATATGTTAATTACATTATAATATGGTATTCTAAATAAACTATCATTGTTGGTAAACCTCAAATTCAACTATCATTGTTGGTAAACCTCAAATTCAAGGTTAGAGTTGCAAAAGTTAGGTACATTTCAGGTTATACTGTAATGTATCTTAATTTTCAAGCTGCCTAAATGAACAAATGTTATTTACTTCTTACTATTAATATTCAGATTAATTTTACTAATTTAATGAGAAGCATAAAGTTCTAAGCAGTACCTATATAATATACAGTATATTTTTATGAAATCTATACTTCTAATATCTAGGACTGCTCTCACATAAAAAAAATTATAGAAGAATGAATGAAAAAATATATCTGGTTCTTTTTGAAGCAAAACTAAAACACATTAATTTACATGAATGTTTTAAACGCAATCAAAATGTTCAAACACGATTACATTTTAGTTTTGATTCAACAAGAAAGAAATTATACATACAGTATTGAAGAAAGTATGGAACTGATTCAAAAAACTGATTCAAAAAAATTGACAAGCTGTAATCCAGAATATTGGATTAATAAGTAAATGAATTTTTTTGTTATGTTTAAATTCAGTGTTAGACAATCCCATGGAATACACCATGGTAGTGGTACACAATTGGTTAATGAGTGAAGTCTAGGTGTATAAGAGATACATGTGTAAAGGCAAGACAGTGCAATGGTGGTAGAGTAGAATTGTTTATCATTGATTACCAACACTATGTTGCTCACCTTGCTGACAAATGTTTTGGGATGTATTAGAAAGACTTTGTGAGGCAATATTCTGCAAGGTAGGACTCACGACAGAGGTAGAATTGTTTACCACACTTTGTTCATCAGCTTCTGTAGGAATTGAGCCATTCTGATCTGTGTTTACAGCAAGGTCACTTTGTTTTTGGTCTTTGTTCCCAGCTTCCCAGGTGCTGGCGCATGTACCTATACCAACACTAGATCCCTCAACTTCCATAAAAGGTACCACTACTCTAGCTTCGATAGCACCTCTGTCTGAGGTCTGATCAGCACCAGTCGTCACTACCTGCTCTTCTTCCCACCAGTTACCACTAGCATTAGCAGGTTGCATTGGTTTTCCAGCGTCTGTCACTGCACTTGTATTGTCAGCATTCTGACTAGAATTGCCTTCCAGTACATTCTCCTCTTCCCACCAGCTACCAGATGAAGCAGAATTTGCAACTTGTGTTTTATCAGCACCAGGTTTTTCCCCATTCCCTTCCACCATGTCCACCTCTTTCCACGCGCTAGTAGATGATGCAGTATTTGAAACGTGTGCTGTATTACAACTAGGTTTTCCTTCATTCCCATCAACCATATCATCTTCTTCCCACCAGCTAGCAGCTAATGAAGAATCTGAAACTTGATTAGAATTAACACCAGGTTTCCCTGCAATCTCTTCCCTCATGTCCTCTTTCCACCAGCTAGCACATAATGAGTTTGAAACTTGTGTTTTATTAGCACCAGAATTTGCTTCACTCTCTGCAGGTTTGTCTGACCTTTCTATGGTTTCTTTGGCAATAACAGAAACTTTGACTTCGACACTACTGGATCCGACATCACTGCCACTGGTTCGAATATCACTGCAATCAGCACTTGAGACAGTAGCTGATCCAATGTCTTTGGTGGCACTCGAGTTATTAGTGGATGGTTTTTTAGATTCAGAACCTTTCATAAATGGCCCACTCGTGTCAGGATCATCCAGATACTCGGAAAAAAACAAGTCTTCTCTCCAATCACTACTCCATTGCAAGAGCAAACATAACATATTTAGCTTCATTTTCCTGTTACAAAAAATAATAATAAAAGATGTCATTACATTTTTAATTTTTTTAACATCAGTCACCAATTACGTGAAGCTCTTAAGCTTTGTCTGCACTATTAAATTTCATCAAAATAAAAATGTGATGGAAAATAAGAGTTGAACATGTTCAACTTTTTTTTTATACAATTTGATAGTATGTGATATGACGTCATCGTACCCATATATGGGCACATCACATTGTTTTGTCACATAAAATTTGAGTGTAGACAAAGCTTAAGTCACATTTCATACTGAGAGAGTAGCATTAATTATAGTAATGGTGGTGGTCAATAGTAATGGTGGTATATTTTGACTTTTTTAAATAAGTTTTTCCAGATAGAATTACGATGTACAGTACTATGTAGCAGGGGTGGATTTAGGGGGGGGGGGCCGGCTCCGGCCCCCTCTTTTGGGAGGTAAAAAAAGAAAAAAAATGAAGGAAAAAGAAAAAAATGATAGCCCACAATGCCTCAAATGTTATTTTCGGGCATCTAGAACACAAAAATTTCGCGGACCCCCTAGGACATTGTTGTCTCGATCGGCCCAAATTTTGGCCCCCCCTTTTGGACATCTCTGGATCCGCCCCTGTGTAGTATCAATATGTAAATACTCAGGAAAGAATAATGTCAATGTGGGCGTATTCGACAGGTTCATTTCGTTGACTACGGATTTTCGTTGAGTGTTATTTTCATTCGACTGGTTCATAGATAGACTTCGTTGACAACGAAAATTAACTTAAACCAGAGTGCGTAAATCAGCGTTAAGTTATTCACATGACCAAAACAAACATGGCCAATTGGTGAGTTTAGAAACAACATTTGTGTTAATAAAATTTACAGTAGATTATGTTTCAGAAAATAAAAATTATAATATCTACCCACATGAAGTCAAAAAATAATTGTAATTGTATTCGACTGGTCTTCGTAAAGTAGGATTTTACCGCTGCGCAGGTGGGCGTGGTTTAACGAAGAACGACCAGTCGAATACGGCCAATAACAGAAAAAAAAAGGCTTACAATAGACATGCTTACCGTGGCCCACTTGTTAATGTTTTATCCTTGATAAGATTAAAGATTTTCCTCTTTTGGTCTTTCACTAAAATAGGAAGCAATGACTTCACTAGCATTGCAAGGCAAGTACCAAGCACATTGAGATACTCCTCCATCTCCAAATGCTCACCCTAGAGAAAACAATAAAGAATTGGGATAAGTCTATTATAAGTCTTGAGAAGGGTAGTGGGGTCTCTTGCGGAGACATACCAGTATCGATAAAAATAATAAGCATATACGGTATGCTGGTGGTGGAGGTTGGTCACATCGACGCACCTTGATGTCAAAGTAAAGCCATCTTTGGATCAGCTTCATAATGATGTTTTCAACAATTTCTTTGAACTTGGAGTCTTCTCCCCCAGTGTCTGACCCTGCCATAATCGAACTTAAGTAGGAACAATAGGATGACCTTAGCTTGTCACTATTTGTTGCACTGGAAACCTAAAAAAAATATAAGTCAAATAAGACAGGGCATTTTTTTCTTCTGTTTTAGCAATGTGGATTGAAATTGCTGGTTTTAACAGATAATTACAATGAATATTTAAATAAAAATGGATATATTTGTTTTCCCGTACTGACATGAATTGTTGGAAATATTGTTTGTGTATTGTCTCCTATGATGTTTATGCTTTCACTTTGATATAATCTTTCATCTTTTATTAATGGATTAAATAAGGACTGTCTCTTATACACATCTAGATGTGTATAAGAGACAGATACTATCTCATCTGAGATTAATCAGTGGACCTTTCGGTGCTCCGGCCTTGGAGCCCCGGCCTTGAAGTCCCGGCCTTGAAGTTGGAGAACAAGCTATTCCCACTGCACCAAACCACTTCCTACCAATTATATGTATATATTCATACTATGAATACTCACTATAAAATGCAAAGGCTATGAAAATATAAAATAGGTGTCATACATCTTAAAACAATGTCTTCAAAAAGTTACCTTTACATATTCAGGTTCTTTCCTTTTAAGTACATCAGACAATATCTCCTTGAAACTTTCTGGTTTTAATACTAAAAATAAGAGAACAGTTTAAGGTGGTAATTAATTGTACAAACCAGGGGGAAGTTAAATTTAAACATGATATCCACTTAGTCTCATGACGACAACAGAATTTGTGTATTATTGTATTTTAAGAGAGGAAGGCATCTCAGAAAAGAGTAGAGCTTTGGACTCTCTTGTTTCTGAACTATATAGGCAAAATTCAGTTTACAAAATTACCATAAAGCTCTTCCATAAGGGGACCTGCTATTGGTAGGAACACCTCATCTTGTATGGATTTATCCAGAATTTCCTCCAATGCAACATGTCGTTCCTTTGGCCATGAAGCAGGGAATGGGGCAAGACGTGACATTTCTGAAAAATAAAAAGGCAAACTAACATTAGATTTTGTCTCCTTACAGCTATACTATGCTGTTGTATCACATTAAGTTGAAAAACATTAGGCCTACTTGTACTTGGATGGGAAACTGTATGCTGTAAACGTAAGTGAGTGAGTGAGTGATTGAGCAGTACAGTACCAATCTTAATCCCATTCCTTGCTCAGTGTTCCAGTTGTCTGGTCCCAAAACTGTAGACCAGTATAACTAAATGGGTCATGTGTACTTTTACAAACCAAGAGAACCCTTCAAAATTAGAAACATTACCCCAGAATTCTAGTCCACCTATTCCCCCGTCTTTGCCAAGAACCCAACTGAAAGTAAGTCTTAAGATTTATAGAGTTATTCTTTGTCGTACACCATTCCAACCAACCATTTCCATCATAGTGGCAACTTCTTTCAGATGCTCAATTTTCAAAATAGTTATGTAAAGAAGTGAAATCCAGTCAATGTAATTCCTCAGTAATGTAAGGCAGGTATATTAATCTATATTAATCTGCATAAAATTCAACATACCACTATCCAAAATATCTGAAATCTCTTTCGCTTTTAGTTTTATTTCCTCCACTTCCACTGTAGACAGAGTCTGAAAGTTATGAGAAGAAAAAAAAATGTTAAGGTTTCTGAATAGGGTACAACACAACTGGAAAAGAAGTCAATAAAAAACAACCATAAAAGATGTCAATACTGCATTTCATACCTTTTTTATTTTGCGTACTACTTTGAACTTCTGCCATTCAAACTCATTCTTTTTCTGTTCCAATGTCATGTCATCTGCTGACAATGCAGCAGGTTTACTGACAGGTTCTATTATTTGTGTACTTTGTCTTCTTGATGTTTGTGGGTCTGGGCTTCTCCAGTTACTACTGCCGGATCCCTGTTTAGATGGACTTTTGTTGGTAGAAATCTGATCAGGACTTGAATTCCATGCCCTCTGATCTGGTTGTCTATTCCAGTTTACTGGCCTTTGATTTGAAGGGGATTTCCAATCGCCTGCCTCCCAATTAGATGGTCTCCAGTTGTCTGGTCTCTGATCTCTGTTTTTCCAGTTGCCCTGATTTGAATTACTTCTCCAGTTACCTGGCCACTGATCTTGGTAACTTCTCCAGTTGCCTCTTCCCTGATCCGGATGGCCTCTCCAGCTACTGCTTCCCTGCTCTGGGTGATTCCTCCAGTTACCCATTCCTTGATTATAAGGGCTTCTCAAGTTTTCCTGATAATTCTTTAAGCTTTCAGGCTCCTGCTCTGATGATGGGGCTACCCATATTTGTCCTGTACTGTCTTTAAATATTACATCTGTATGTCGCTCTTGTTGATTTGTATGTTTTATTTTTTCAGATGAAAAATTTGACGGTGAAGTAGTAGGTGATTGATTAGCAGGTTCCTTCTGTGGAAATTGCCTTTGGAAAATAGTATTACTGTACGGGAATAATGGTTGTCTTTTATTCTGTACAGGTGATGTCTGATGTAGCAAGGCTCTGCTACCTTGAAGTTGTACCATGTCCCTTCCTTCTATAGAATGAGTTTGGTGTGACAATGCACTGCTACTAGGTAGTTTTACCTTGTCCCTTCCTTGTACAGGTGGTGATTGATGAAGCAAGGCACTGCCACCTTGCAGTTGTACCATATCTCTTCCTTCTACTGGTTGAGTTTGGTGTGGCAATGCTCTGTTACCAGGTAGTTTTACTCTTTCTCTTCCTTCTTCTACTGGTTGAGTTTGGTGTGGCAATGCTCTGTTACCAGGTAGTTGTACCTTGTCTCTTCCTTCTACAGGTGATGATTGATGAAGCAAGGCACTGCCACCTTGCAGTTGTACCATATCTCTTCCTTCTACTGGTTGAGTTTGGTGTGGCAATACTCTGTTACCAAGTAGTTGTACTCTTTCTCTTCCTTCTTCTACAGGTTGAGTATTGTGCGGCAATCCGCTGTTACCAGGTAGTTGTACCTTGTCTCTTCCTTCTACAGGTGGTGATTGATGAAGCAACGCTCCGCCACCTTGCAGTTGTACCATATCTCTTCCTGCTACAGGTTGAGTTTGGTGTGGCAATACCCTGTTACTAGGTAGCTGTACTATGTCTCTTCCTTCTACAGGTTGAGTATGGTGTGGCAATCCCCTGTTACCAGGTAGTTGTGACTTGCCTCTTCCTTCTACAGGTGGTGATTGATGAAGCAACGCTCCGCCACCTTGCAGTTGTACCATATCTCTTCCTGTTACAGGTGGTGATTGATGAAGCAAGGCTCTGCCACCCTGCAGTTGTACCATATCTCTTCCTTCTACAGGTGGCGATTGATGAACCAAGCCTTTGCCACCTTGTAGTTGTACCATATTTCTTCCATCTACAGGTGGTGATTGATGAAGAAAGGATTTGTCACCCTGTAGTTGTACCATGCCTCTTCCTGGTAACACATTAATATCAAAGCCTGTACCTCCTAAATCATCACATATCAAGTAGTTGTCATTATTAGAATCAGACATCTTGGTCTCTATATTCCTAACACCAACATCAACTGAAGGGTTCAAATTACTCTGCCCCTGATACACTGGAGACGTAGGATTTTGTACTGCTTGGTAATCAGGTCTTGTATGTTGTTTCTGAATGTTAGGCTGTGTGGCAGAATCACTTCCTGCCCAAGTTCTGACATTAAATTCAACATTATGTTGGTCTGTAAAGCCATGTACAGGGGAGGGAGACTTCTTTTCTATCACAATGGTACGTCCCTTAGCATTTCGTGTTAGGCTTGTCTTTCCTCCATACTGGACTGCTTCTCCCCTTCCCATGGGAATACTCTCAAGTTTAGATACATTTTTTGGCCTTCCAGTATCACTATGCCTTGTGTGTCCTGAATTCACATTTTCTGTCTTGTATGCCTCTGGTGTACCTACTGAATGTGGTATTCTTCTGAACTCTCCATGATATGGTTTTTTAATGTCATGACTGTCAGTTGCAGTGCTTGAGGCTGTGTTTGGTAGGTTCTCACATTGGTTGCCAATGCTGCCTCTTCCAAGTCCTACAAATGACCATAAGAATTGACAAATTATTACTAATTATTATATTTCCAAACATTTCCTTTTAATTTTATACAATCTAGTAGTATCTATGGTACATTTACTGCGTATTACAAACAAGGAGTATATTATTCACCTTTAATAACATTTGTGCTTTTGGTTGGAGGTGGAGAGATTGAACTGGGATAAGTTGAAGCACTTATCGTAACCCCTCTTCCACGACCTCTGCCACCCTCCATATTTTTTTTGACACAGCTAGACTTCAATTCTATAAATAAAAGTAAAGAACTACTTTACAGAATCATATATATAGAGAAAATAAATGTTACTTTTATAAAACACATTATTGTAAGCACCAAATAACAACATTCACTGTCATGATATTTTTTTCTCTTAGAAAATTTGGCAGGGTAGGCATTAAAATTAGGTGCATTCATTAATCAATTATATTTTATTTCAACTGCATATATTTGCCACAACTCTAACATACTCTAATGGGAAACTGAGGTATACTCATAGGAATGGAAAAAAAGATTAGGCAAGTTAAGTGTACTTAAGAGATTAAGTTACATACTTACGTAACTACATATGATGAGTGTGAAAGATTGACAGATAAGTTTTTAGCTGTAACACCATCAATCTGTTTGTTTAACTTTAAATATTAGTGCTTCATTTACTGACTTCAGATAGTATATTCATGGAGGAATTAGTTTAAACTAATTCCTCCATTGTATACTATTATTTGTTTCATCTCCTTAATCTATCACACTGTTAATTTCTGCATGGAGGAATTAGTTTCCAATTCCTCCATGATTTCTGGTTGCAGTAAAATTTCTTATCAGCACTCCTGCTGTGTAGAAAAATAATTTGCTCACCAGCCAGGGTGCACGAAATGTTAGGCGCTGAGCACCTAACATTTCTTTAACTCAGTTGTGTATCTCAGTTAAATAAGGAAAACATCATGTCATCTTGAAGACAGTAAATAACAAAGATTACATTTCAACTTTTCATGAGAAAATAAAAAACAGAGTGAGTCATTACAACAAGCACTAACTAAAGTATAAATGAGAGGGCTTTGAGTCAGATTAGAAAGAGTAAGGATTTCCAAATAATTTGAAAAAATTTAAAAAAATTTGCTGAGTATTTTATATTGGCAAAGATTATTATTTATTTTATAGAATCCAGGTCTTCTATTTAATCAGCAATATTTGTCTTTAATTAAGATTAATAATAATATTATTGATGCTGTTAAAATATATGCCCAGCCCTAGGTTGCCTACAGTTTACCTAGGCCTAGCCTACTATAGAATGCATGGTATGGCCCTATAGTAAAAGGGGATTTTCATGATGGTTTACAGTGTGCGTTCCAGGCCTTCCAGAAGATTTTAGGCCTAGGCTCCTAGGTTAGAATTTTAGTACACCTATCTATTGACTACAGTCATTAATATGTGCTTAACACAGCTACATAATAAATGTAATAGTCTGCTTTCCTACTTCGCTAAAACACACATTATAAATACAGAAACTCATACTTTTTACGAGAACGTTATCCTACCTTCTTGTTCACGCTTTCACACCACAAAACACAATACAGCTGAGTACTGAGCGACATAATGCCAATTCCCACAAGTGAAATTTGTAAGTTATAATAATTGTTATAACATTTATTTCGTTAATTGTGGAATAAATCTGTTTCATAAAATTGTAAATTTAATACATAATATCGGGATTTACATAAGTTTCTATTAGACCTATAATGTTTGTTCTTATTAATGTTTTAATTAAAAACAACATTTCACGACTTTGCAAATGTAGAAAAACGCACAAAACATTAATTGCTAGGTGGCGCTCTTTGTGCTCGTGCGTTATTCGTCGGCTCGCTCGGTGTCGAGAATCACACTTGGAAAGTAAGTTATCTTTGTGTCTTTTGTTATTGTATTAAATTTGTTCTTCTTTTTTGTCCTAAATTATGATAATATGAATGAAATAGTAGTTTCATAGGTCTATTACTTTTCAATTTCTAATATAATAAATGGCCCTTATTTTACTAGCTGACCCCAATGATTAAAATGAGAGACCTAGCCTAGGCTAACTAAGGCTAAGCCAAGCAGACTATAACTTAAGCTATAGTAAGAAGAAAGACAACAGAGAGGCTGCTGGGCATGGCATGCATGATTCTAGTCACCTGACAAAAACAGTGGGCTAGCCTAAGCCACTGGGCCTGGCCTGGTATGAGCAGTCAGATGAATCTGATGGATTATGCCTACTTGCTAGTGAAGTAGCCTACTAGGCCTAGTATGAATAGGGCAAATTTGCATTTTTTCACAAATAAACATTGCTGCCACATTGGCCATTCAGTTCGGCATCGAGTTGACGTGCCATGTTGACGTGTACATTCATTTGATTTGCGCTCATGGATACAAAATTAATAAAATCTGTTTTCGCGCTCTGATTGGCTGTGGATTATTTCACTTTGCAAACAGTGGCATATCTTGTGTGTATAGGGCCCTCAAAAAATACTTGCGTTTCCCCTTCACCGTCATAAATCAAGCTCAAGTAGTTAAAAATCACCTTATTTTGCAAGCTTGCACTTCCTCTCCTAATTATGGAGACCTCCCTCCCATTTCCAGACTCCTAGATACACCACTGGTAAAGGACTTTCACTTCGCCCGAATGAATTATTATTAATTATGATAGGCTTGTTTTTATGGGCCGAATAGCATGTGCTCGCAGGCCAGTTGAGAAAATCCAGGTTTACTCCTTAGTCCATTAAAATTAGTATAAAAGATAACTCTGTTTTTCATGTTGTAAATTTGAATTCTTTGTGTAATAGTAATACTCATACCATTTTAATTACCAGGAGAATATATTGAGAACGGTGCAGCAATGTCATCAGGCACATCTCCAGTTCAACACCGCCCTCATGTGTCATCACCATTTTTGTATCAACTGTCAGCGGGTGAGAGGGAGTTGGACATTGTGATGCTTGATCATGGATATGCTAGGCCTTGGAGTACACACCCTGACGCCAGTCATGCCAAGCCAGCCAAGTGGCTATTTGTGCCTCGCACACTACGTCTTAGAAACGATAGGACAATAATGTAAGTGATCAAATTAAATGAAAGTGTTATGTTAATTTTTTATTTATCTTTATCAAACTAGCCAAATGTCAAAATTCTATGTTGTTATTCATTTTTGATAGAGAATCAGATACGAATGTTGATGTGGTAAAGCTTGTGGCACCAAACCCAACAGCTTATGATGTCGTAAAGGCACGATCAGTCATGAACGAATGTGATCGACACGTCAACTTTGCACGTGCCGGAATGCAGCAACCAATTACTGATGAAAATTGGGAGGAAAAACTTAATAGGTAATTGATAAAGGGGATTTTATTTATTATGAAGGAGGTAGCCAAAGCCTGCTACTTACAAAGTGGATGTAGAATAATTTTTATACAGTAGAACCCATCCTTTTTGACACCATTATTTAGGACACCCCTATTATTAATGGGACACTTTTCTGTGGGTTTTTTTTTTTGAGGGGTGGGGTTTTTTAGTTGGTACATTATATAAAAACCTTAAAGATGCTGTACAAATTAATTATAAATTATTAATACAATTATTATAATGGAAATTGTAAAAAGATATTGCATATAAATGCATTACAAAAATAATACTGACATAATATATAATCTTACAGTAACATACATTAAAAAGACAGTACAATAGAAAACATTTACATTACATTAACAGCCAAAAATAGCTATGCTATGATGTTTAAATGAACTTAACATTTACTGTATATTACAGTGTTTCCTTTGATTATTTTTTTTTTCTTTCAGAACTGGTTGGACATCAGGACAAAACAAATTGTTTAATAAAATAATCAAAATTCTGTCAGGAGATCGACTTGCAAGATTGGCATATGAAGGGGTGAGAATAAGTTGCTAAGCCCCTCCCCTTGGATATAGTTGCTAAGGTCCCACAAAACGACAGTGTTCAGACTTGGAGATAAACCAGGCTTGAGTTAAGACCGGCTTAACTTTACCGGGCGTTCAGACTAGCGGGTTTAATTTAAATTTGCATAATAATGAACTGTAACCAGGAAAAAACGTGTTTCAAAACATTGCTCGCGAAATGTACGCTCGCTCACAGCATACGTAATTGAATGCTGATTGGTCATTTCGTCACCCGAAGTCAATGCAAGACCCCCCGCAACGATTAAAGCCCAGCTTAGAAAAGTTAAACACGGTGGCGCGCCAGGCCTAGTTACTATAGGAACACAGCCTCTTGAGATAAGCCACCTAGTTCAGACTGGCAGGTGGATAAACCCGGTGAGTTGAGCCGGGTTTATCCACCTAGTCTGAACTAGGCCGTGCACACACGTGTGTTTGTACGACATGCGCACATTCCTGGCACTGTTCTGATTGGTCAGTTATTCAGTTTGATTGACACTTCAGAAAGGTTTATTATGATTGTAAGAGAGCAGTTGGTATGTTGTCTTGTACCTTAGTAATTGTTTTGTTTCAGGCTATTTATGGCAACTTAGTCTAATGATAAGTTTTGTATTATAGACACCTAATGAACCGGTTATGAGAAGAATCCACCTGGATAAGTGCGCCAAAAGATTTAGACAGACAATGTCTGCTATCGTTTGGGTAAGTATTATTCATATTAGTTTATATATTACTATGATTATGTGTGTAAAAATATGAGAGAAAATGAACGTATGATAATGTATGTTGTAAGATAATGCTAATATATTTTTAATTGTTATCTATATACTGTCTTTAACCCATTGATTAAGTACCTGGATCCAAATTGTATCTGTATCATCTTGTATTGTTGACATTAAGTATTCCTTGGTTATAAGTGTTTGTATTTTGTGAATTAAACTGATTTCCTCAATGTTCGTTACAGCAGTGCAATTTTTATCTTTTTTTCTTTTCATGATGATTTATTTAGGACACAAAGACTACAACATGGCTTCACTCAGTGTTGGTCAATAACCTCAGCTTGACCTTACTGACCATCTACCTGGACGTGCTGCAGACTTTGAAGTGTAAAGTGCCTTCTTTGATTGACAAGATGATTCATTTCTCATCTACTTTGCACCGTGGGTCAGGAACTACTGTTGAAGCACTAAACTTGCTCCTCAAGAGACCATGGGACCCTGCCATCAGCACCCTAAATCAGCATAAACCAGTGAGTTTCATGGTTACTATGCCATTCAAGTAGCTAAATAATCATTATTATCATCAACGTCATAATCAACAATAATCACCATCATCATCACCATCAGTATTATCACTAAAGTTATTATTATCAGTATCATTCATCAACAATGTTTTCACTACCATCATCATCATTATACTCATTGTCGTCATCATCACGAACATCGTCATTTTCTTCACGATCATTACCAGTTGAGATGTAATGGTTACTGTGCTGTAAGTAATAATAAACTACATTATCATAAACATCATTATTATCATCATTATCATCAATTATTAACTGCTCTGAACCTGTTACACATCTCCTCTTTAAATAATTTTGTTTCAATATGTACTACTGTAATTGATTAATCAATAAATGCACTGAAAGTACCGGTATGTTATAACAACTTCCTTAGAATGCTTCTTGCACCTAGGTTTTGTAACGCCAGTGCCATGTTAGTTAAGGCTGCTCTTCCTTCATTTTTTGAATTTTATTTAAAAATTTAATTTACGCTTTCATTTTCTGCATTAATGCTTCTGAAAACAAAGTGGTATCTTGTGTGGTCAAACACATACTGATTATATCCAATTTAGGTAAGAAAGGTGATGATCCTTTACATTAGTGCAAGTTTGAGCAATTGAATGATTTTCAATTGGCTTATTTTTCAATTTGAAGTTTTCCTGATGACAGTCATTTAGTCATTGTAATTCCAAATTTATATATATACGTATGTGTGATATGGATCATCACCATCATCATCACCATAACCATCATCATTATTATCGCCAACATTATTTGCATCACCATCATTATCACAGGCATCATCATTATCATTCACCATCATCACCATAATTATCATTATTCATCATCATTTCATTATCTTGTGAACATGTGTTTACTAAAATCTGCAGAATCGTCTAATAATCAGCAAGATGTGTACATAATGTCATAAACAATAAATATGGTCTCAACAAAATGTTATCATAAATTCAAGTGTCAGCAATTTCATTATTTATCCCAACAGAAAAAACTGCCCAATGCTCCATTACTTTTACTGACACCCAGCAGTGCCCAGCATCAGTCCCACTCTCAATCTCGCCGCATGAAATTCTGGCAGTCCCAGTTATCCAACATGGGCAAGGTGGTACCTATCACTATGCATGTGTCAAGCGGTGGGTCCGGTGTCACACTCAGTCAGTGTCTGGAACATATGATTGGTGCTGTCAAGTCAAAGGTGCTTGAGGTAGGCAACTTATGTTTTGTTCTGATTGTTTTCACATCCACTTTTGGAGGTTTGTTTGGATGTTTTAAGGTGGTTTTACAAAATTTAGAAAATTATAAGTAATATTTTATAAGCATGTAGATGGATTATTTACATTGAAAATTGTTTGCCAAATGATTTCTGGATAAAAGTTGTGCTTTGGATATTATGTTTGACTAATTTTTTAACATATGCTTGAAAAGGTCAAAGTTCATTTTTGTCTGAAGCAGATTAACTTGTGTCGGGGCACTTTATCCATTTTTTTGCGGCACGCGAAAATGAATTAAATACCCTATGTGTACGGCCCACCAAGCAACATTGGGTAGAAAACACCTTGTTGTTTATGCCCCGATACCGATCATATGTAAAAAGTAATATTAAAACTGAGAATAAAGTGGTGTAAAGCAGTGCTTGGAGGTTTTTCAAAAATTCACTTTGGCCCTCCAACCGATAATTATGCCTACCCCTGAGCAAATGCCAATGAACTGACTGCTAGATCTTGAAAGCCTTCTCAAAATTTACTATATTTATTCTGTCAACTAAACTATTAAAATCTATTTTGTGTGTGTTTTTGCTTTTAGCTTAAAAGTCAATATCCTAATAGACCAATTATCCTGATTGGATGGAATATTGGGGCTCTTGTTGCCTGTCAGGTGAGATTTTTACAGAAAAAAAAAAAAATGTTATTTTTTATTTATTGTGAGCTTCTAGATGTTAATCAGATGCACAGCAAGAGGGCTAGAGTTCCATAAGGGCAAACATGCAGTGTCCCATCCATGGGGATGTGCACACCCCCATAATACTCACCACCCCAAATCCCCAGTTTCCCCCAAAAATCATGGTCAAGTAGTTAAAAATCACCACAATCATCTTATTTTGCTGGCCCTGGCCCTCACCTAATTATTGAGTCCCCAATTCAGCTTTACGTCCCCCATCCACCCCTCCATCCACCTTCCCGTTTCTATATAAGCCACTGCATACATGACAATGATGATGATGCACCTTTCCATGCTAATTTTATTATTTTTCTTCAATGTTATGTATAAAATGTCTGTTTATGCAGGTTGCTTTGACGGACAGTTTATCTGGTGTTGTATGCCTCGGCTTTCCATCAATGGGCATCAGCGGAATTCGAGGGGTAAGTTATCTACCCTCCTCCAATGAACATCAAATGTATAATATTTTCATATTTAACACTTATTTAGTCGTAGGGCATTGTAGCGATGCCCTACTTTACCATCAATTTTAGCATGGACATTGCAGATACTATCCCAATCCAATATAACATGATTGTGGTCTGCTGCCCTCAATGTCAACTTTTGTAAATGGCATAACTTTAAAACATTTTGAGTCAAAAATGTTCCAAAATGAATAACATTGTTTCACAGTCAGTGGAGGACCCTTTGTTAGACAGTAAGGTTCCCACCCTCTTTGTGATTGGCCAAGATTCCAGCGTCGCGAATCAAGATGATATTGAGGATCTACGTGAGCGTATGAAGGCTGAGACGGGTTTGGTTGTGATCGGTGGAGCAGACGAGTACCTGAGGATGAATCGAACAAAGAAGAAACTGGAAGGTTTAACTCAGAGTATGGTGGACAGGTGTATACAGGTGAGACCAAAGTGCTTCTGCTACCATATCATTCAAAGTCATCTTGTTTGACAACCAGGGCAAGTTATAAATTTAACGATTGATTGATTAAAAATTATAATTATGTTATTATTTTGTTTGTTTTTGTAGGATGAAATGTTTGAATTTTTGCATGCAGTATTAACATCCAATCCATGTCCCACAACGACAGTTAAGTCACCTGCTGTGAGTGAATCAAACAAGAAGAAGGACAAGAAGAAAAAAGTTCAGCGAGACTTGCTGGGGGAATTGAGAGGAAAGCAGTCTTCAACACCAAGTAGCAGTAGGCACACCATTCACCCATCAGCTCTTGGAGACGTTAGTTTATGGGGTTTTTTTTATCTACTTCAAAGTTGTGGATATCTTTTTTTGTTTCTCTCACAAATGATTCAGCGAGTGACTTGCCTCTTACAGAGTGTATTAGTCTCTGTGATGGTCTATATGCTAAATCCATGTTCACATTAACTAAGTATGTACTTAATATTCAAAAAGGATTAATTGAACTACTGCAGCTTTAACCACATTTTTAAGCAAACCCAGATAGATGATGATTTAGGATCATCAGTGCTTTAAGGCTCTTTATATTTGGCTCTATTAAGCAATATAATTATTATTTTATTTGATTATTATTTTATTATTATTAATGTTCTATTTATATAGTACATGTTGTATGCTCACTTATATTTCTCAAGGTATTGCATAAGATACAACTAAAATATTATGATATTTTAAAAAAAACTTCTTACCTCAAGATACAAACAAGTACATGATAAATGAAAACTGCACTGACTATTAATACAGAAATGACATTGTACTTGCAAAATATTTTGATTAAGGTATTAGGTAACATATACAATATTCGCTAGGGAGAGAATTGTTATTCATGTGTGTATCAATGTTTATATCAAATGATGAGGGTAATACTACTTTAATTTAGAGCATCCTATATTTGCTATACACAAAAAAAAAAAAAGAAAATGAAATTTCTATTTTTGATTTTTGATGATGCATTGATGCTAATATGATACCTTTGATGACCTATTTAAGGTCTAAATTTTAAAAGAACACTCTTTTACCTGAATCTCCATCGAATTTGCACTCCTACTTCATCTCATCCCTAATCTAAATTCACTGCTAACCATTGGTGGCACTACAGTGTACATTCAGGTAGAGTTCCTATATAGAGAAAGCTGCGACATGAGCGGTTCAGGTCACGTGATTACTGGATGCCCTCTGTCTGTCATATTGGGCCAAATGATGACTAACAACCTAAGTCAGTGGTGCGTAACCAACAAAAATAAGATAAGCTTTGAGGCTAAATTCTTTACCTCATGTTATTTAAAAATTCATAACTCCATAACAAAGGGTCGTATCACATTTATTTTTTTCTGGAAAATGTTCTTAAAAGACACCACTCACCACTATATGATTGAAAAAAAAATTGAAAAAAGAGCTTATCTAAATAGTGTATTAAAATAGGCTTCAGTACAGCAGCACTACATGCGTAGTACTGGACTAGGCCTAGCTAGTAGTAGTACTGTTTCAGTTATCGTACGACTTACGGATTTCTCTTATTATATACTATACAGTAGTTATTGTGGAGATACCCTTAGACTGGGACCCTAGCTAGAGGCTTGCCAAATAAACCAGTTTACTATGAATTTCTAAGTTGTCCTGTGAAGAGGCCTAGGCCCAGTCGCCTACTATTTTTAGAGCCGAACAAACGTGATGATGTATGCCTAGCTAAGGCGCTACACTATTTTAATCAAGCAAAAACTACATGTAATATTACATTTCTTTTAATATCATTTTAATGTTATTTGTCTTTTTTATTGGTGCAGAGAGACAGCTGTATTATGCACCATATAAATCCATTGATTGATTAATTGAATATAATATTATTAATAGCCTATTGAGAATCAATTTCTTTTTGAATTTTGTTACAAATTTCAAACAAGTGTTAACAGATATTTACTATCAAATGACATAAAATTTTCATATTAATATGTTTATTTTTTCAATTGCCAGTTATTTATGTAATCGTCACACTTTAGCATAATCATTGCGTTCATTCATTATGATGTCCCTCTAGCAGCTCATGTCGCAACTCTCTCTATATAGGAACTCAACATTCAAGGGGAGCTATCTTACAGTCCTGCAGGGTCAGGGGCTAAAAATGGCTAGGTAGAGAGTTAATCATTGAAAATCATTACAAACATGTTCATAGTTTAAAGAGAATAACAATGTAGTTTTTTAATGCTAGTGTCTTATTCGTTTATTTTTAGAGTTTTGGACGACTCCCGGGGACTCCAAAGTCAGTGAAACTTCCAAAAGAGAAGATTCCAATTTTGACGCAACAAGAGATTTTTGCTGCACAGTATGCACAATTCTTGGCCAGTACACGCAAGAAAAAAGAAGATGGTAAGAAAACTATTGACATTTTAAATATATTGAATTAAATTTAAAATGTTTAATATTAATTAGAATGTAGTTTATATTTGTTTTAAAAAAAATAGATTATTTGGAGACTATGAGGATCTATTTAAGAAAACAACCATATTTTTTCTTGTCTTAAGGGAAGGCAAAGGCTAGCATTAAAAGAAAGAGCAAGTCTTCAGAGTCAAGCAGCAGTAAAGCCAAGCAAGCCAAAGTAACAGAACCATCTCACAAAGAACCGACAGCTCCACCAAAACCTCATAGTGTCAACATCTCTACTCTGGGTATCACTCAGAGTGTTACCCTGACAACAGGTACATCAACAAAGAAACTTGGACATCTGCAGCCAATGGGGGCACTAAATACACAGAATACTCACAGTAGTATCTTGCAAGGACTTAGTTATAACCTACAGAACAGGGGCTTGGCTAGTCCAACTGAAACTGGAGTACTGGAGGGCATCCTCGCAAGTAGCTCTCCATTGTCTCCCTTACAGCCACCATTAACTCCTTCTAAGACGTCACAGGGAATCGCTCCTTCTCCAGCATTGCCACCATTTACAACTGGTGCTTCAGGACTTCTTCTGGCGGCAGCTTCAACATCCACAACAGCTGGAAGCATATTGATGACGAAAATGCCAAATGCAGTTACTTCAGCCATAAAAACAGAACCTCCGCAAAGTGTGATGCAACTGAAATCAGCCAAAGTGTCATCTGAAGTTGCTCTGCAGGCACTGATTGCTGCACAAGCACAACCAACTGCCATTCTTTCCCCTGTGAGAGGTGCAAATGGAACACAAACGAGCAAGGTAACGCATGATAATTATGACGCACACATTCAAGCAATTCAGAAACTTCAGTTTCACGACTTTCCTTTAACAACTGCTTCTCTACCAGCCAACAAAGGAACATTGTCTTTTACACAAGCTAAGATTCTCTCAAATATACAACCACAAGAAAGTTTTACAATGAGCTGTGCGGAATCCACATCCAGTACCACCACTTCAATGGCGCCCTCTATCACAACAAATTCCACAACATTAACATCAGCCTTACCATCGTACTCAATTCCATTGACTTCTTCTGCCATGAAGCAACTTGATGCAAATTCTGTCGTTGCCACAGCACCAACAGCAGCACCATTGTTGACATCAACTGAAAGAGCTGTGACAAAGAGTGAAGCAACAGCTCTTCGGATAGCTCTTGCATCCCAGCCAACAAACATTTCATCATTAGCAGACCAGTTATTGTCCACCAACAGCAGTACCCTGAATCTTGATTCCCATACTATGTCACTTCTAACACAGTTGCCTTCCTTGATGGCAGATGATGTTGAGGAGACTCCCGAACAGGAAGAGGCAAAGCTTCCAGAAGCAAGTGATGATAACACCAGCAGTAAGGTGAAGTCACCAACTGAGTCCTCAGACTCTAGTTCCCAAGATTCATCTAGTCTTCCATCAGTCTCTCTGTTCACTGCAACTAGAACAAGGCGTGTTAGGGCCCCCAAGTCATTCTCTGATTATACCGAGTAGGTATGTTTTGACTTGCAATCTCACATTTCTGTTATAGAACAATACAATCTGCACAATATACCATATAATTAGTATTTGATGTACATCTATACAAAGTTAACGATATAGTTTTAATAATTGCAATGAAATATAAAAGAATTAAAGGTTGCACACATCTTTTAGTGTTATAAATCAATTTAAAGCCGGGCATGCACTTTGTCGACTATCATCAACTGGTCTAATATAAAATACGAATTGACAAGGTGCGCGCAACGGATTATTTTTGAAGGATGATCATCTCAGACTACCACTGTTAATTAGCCGACAGAGTCGCATCGTCAAACTGCAGAGAGCAGAGATAAACTTACTGATGTAGATTCCGCCCATCTTTTTAAAGTGATACTTCAAGCAGTTGTTAACATATTTATTTTAATTTTAATGACATTTTCTGATATGAATGCCACCATTGGAGTGGCTACGACAATAATGTCTATCACCAGAATTTAATGAAGTGTTGAATTCCAGAGCACTTTATGTTTACAACCGGCAGAAATGAAGCAGACTTCACGTCGCTAGAGAGCGTGCATGACATGTAGCGATCATCCTGTTAGTGTACGATTGTTACTGTATTGGTAATCATATACTGTAATATTAATAAAACTACTTGATACACTGTATTTGCTTTGAAATATGATCATTATATTTGTGTCTCATAAAATAATATACATATGTATTGTGTGCTTAACTAAAATTATTATATAGCTGCATAGTAGAAAGCAGTTGTTCACTATAACTAAAGTCTTCTTATCGAGTCTATTCACGAGTTCATTCTCTGTGGAGATGTTGATTTAGTTCTAAAAACTTGACATTACGGTCCTCGTGTATAGTGGTGAAAGGATCGGTAGGAAAAGGGCCGCGGCGTGAACGCTTCTTTCTTTACACAAATGTACCTCAACCCAGATTGAAGACGGACGTTTCATGTTCATCTAAAAAGGGTGTGTTTTAACGAATTTATATATTTATTTTTCAATTTCATACAAGCAAACCTCCAAACATAAACAGGAAAAACAAATTGATTTGAACACAGACAATTTATATAAATAGAATACTGTACAACAAAAGGATAAAAAGAATCGAACTTTTAAAAACAACATTACAAATTCGCTTGATAAACAAAATTTTTAAATGCCTATGTGATTTCTGAATTTTCGTTATTTAGAAAGTTTTTGACAATTAAGTACATTACCCCACTCTAAGCGGCACTGAAATGCAAGCATAAAACCTAAAGCATCATAAAATCGACCTCTTAAAACAAAAATAATGTATTCTTCAAATACCCGGTTGTTGTATTTCACAGGTGGGCAACATGCGGCCCGCCTGTGATTTGTTTGCGGCCCGGGAAAATGTATTACAAACTATGTGTGCGGCCCGCCAACCAACTTTGGCTAGAAAACACCTTGTTTTTTTGGGGCCCGGCACCGGTCATCTGAGAAAAGTAATAGTAAAACTGAGCATAAAGTGGCCATAAAAAAGTGTGGGTGCGGCCCTCAGAGTTGAATCAAAAAATAACTTTGGCCACCACTTTTAATGCCCACCCCTGTTGTATTTGATAGGCTTATAGTAAATGACACCAGTATTTCAGGAGTTAGTCTTTTCATGTGGATTATGGGCGTACGAGGGCAGAAATGTGTTTTCCGGGTAATAAAATATTAATAACGAGTGTATTCGTTGAACCATAGTTTACTGACACCAGCATATTTCTTGGGGGGGGGGGGACGGAACAAAGCTAAATAAAGTATTTTTTCATTGATATAGCCTAAATCTGTAATTTCAGTTATAGCACTCTTTAGTCTTAAAATAGTTACTCTTTAGCTTTAAAATAGTTCTTTCACAACTTACGTATGAAGCGCGAGCACAATGAGACGCCCGCGTATAGGTGTGGGGTTAAAAGATTCATGATGGCGGTCCATCACAAGACAGCCTATGTTAAATTTCAACCTACTGTACTGTAAAATACATTAGACAGACTATGGCGGTTGGGTGGGCAATGAAAAAAGTGACGTAGTTAAGTAAAAGAACCTCATTAAAGATTAAGAATAATGATCTTAAATGTTGTGTTTGTACTCATTATGTTCGAGACGGGAAACTAGTCCCGCAGGATTAATTCCTGTCAATGTTCTCTTCAAATGTACTCGAGTTGTAGTGCATGCATCGTTGGTTGAGTTTTACGAGATCACTCAATCGAAAACAATAGCGAGTCTTTGTATTGAACGGCTCAGCATATGTCGCAGATGTATAAACGTACCACCTGTGTTTCGCGAATCGTCCTTCCTTTTAATTGTTAATGTTGAATATCAGATGTGATCGAGTCCTTTGTCCAAGACTGAAACGTGCCTTCAGCACGCCTTGTGTGTGACAATCGGCAAAATAGCATTTTTTAATCGATCCTTCATAAAAATATTGGGAAATTACATTTTTGTTGATACAATTTGAAAGTCGTTTTATAGCCTACATTTGTACGGGTGAAATATTTATGAAAATAGAAAGTTTGCATATAAATACACAAAAGCGTAGTATAATAAAGGAATTATTTATTATTAAGAACAAAATCTGCGTAACATTAATATAATAATGAATTTATATACAACTTGTGTTGTCCAAAAGCTTTGGTTCAATTTCTGGCTGTTTACGTTTTAGCTGATGCTTATCAAATTTGTATAACAAGATCCAGCCACTTTAATTTATGTGTGTTTATATAGGCTTATATCTGTCTCTTATACACATCTAAATGAAGCAGACTTCACGTCGCTAGAGAGCGTGCATGACATGTAGCGATCATCCTGTTAGTGTACGATTGTTACTGTATTGGTAATCATATACTGTAATATTAATAAAACTACTTGATACACTGTATTTGCTTTGAAATATGATCATTATATTTGTGTCTCATAAAATAATATACATATGTATTGTGTGCTTAACTAAAATTATTATATAGCTGCATAGTAGAAAGCAGTTGTTCACTATAACTAAAGTCTTCTTATCGAGTCTATTCACGAGTTCATTCTCTGTGGAGATGTTGATTTAGTTCTAAAAACTTGACATTACGGTCCTCGTGTATAGTGGTGAAAGGATCGGTAGGAAAAGGGCCGCGGCGTGAACGCTTCTTTCTTTACACAAATGTACCTCAACCCAGATTGAAGACGGACGTTTCATGTTCATCTAAAAAGGGTGTGTTTTAACGAATTTATATATTTAGTATACGTATCCTACATTATATGACTTGACACCTTTTTAATATCATAATTTATGAGATGCTTATCAACTTCACGGTACAGCAGATAAGCAATGCCAGATGACCGCTCCCTACCCATACTGCACAAAGTATTTAATTCCGTACATCAACACCTTTGCTTGAGAAAAGACTGCGCACAAAAACCATCAATTTATGTTTGTGTGTGCGCCGAGATAACGCGAGAATATCAATGTTTAATGTATAAACTTCACGACAATCGACGCGTAAGTGTTCTAGTATCCGCCTGGGAATGGCGATGATGATGGTTTTGGCCCGCAGCCGACGGCCAGTGTACGCTCCCGTCTTAATTTCATTATGTATCTTGTTATGGGTGTTAGGCGCAACGACTTGTGCGAAAAGCGCCACCTGTGGTCAACTAGTATTTTTATTGAAATTTTCCAGGCGTTATGAATGTGTCAATTTCCTTAAAGAACCACGCCATATTCTATTAAAGTAAGTTTACAGTGGACACCCTATATGCCAAGGAGGCTATTCTTAATAGCAGTCTGCTAGGTTGGCAGAGAATCATAATTTCCGCCAAAATAGCAGGCGATGAGAGAAATTTCCAGTGCCAAAAGGAAGAGAATCTGCAGCTGCTTTGTTTCATTTCAAGACATCTCCTCATTACAGCCCGTTACAATTTTAACACTAGAGATAATTCGTTAGCTACTTATAGCTGATCATATTTCAATTGTTATTTCCTACTTTCTTACGCGAAGCCGTTTGCCAGCGCTCACGTGGTAAACGATGTTAGATCACCGGCGCTAATCAGTAAACAGTCTTAAATATGAATGAACGTACCATAGAAAAACATATAGAAATGATAATAAAATAGTCACAGCTTTGATATTCAGAGTTCTAACCAGAGCGCATGTTCTTCTTACAGGTAGAATAACAATAACAAGGATTTTAACTTTGTGTCGATTCTTGTTTGTGTGTTGTTAACGTGGGGTCTTGAAAGATTGAAGATGACGTTACACTGTGTTGGTTAAGTGGCGCGCAAAGATAATGTTTTGTAGTAGGCCTACATAAAAGAGCTTTTCACGTTAAAGTCGCCAAATCCGGGTAAAAGGGATTTCCCAGTTTTTTTGACAATTAAATGTACCTGTAATAACTTTTGTGATCTTTAAATATGAGCAATATAAATTATTTATAAAAAAAATCATATATTAAATAGATTGAATGACGTAGTGCTGACGTCATTTACGTATCCATTCCTCTGTCCAACTAGCTCTCATCTAATTTGTTTTTTCCCCCTAAATCAGTTAATCTGAAGAATATTGTAATTTACTTGAATTAGACGACTGGATATTGCCACCCACCCTGGGAGCTTGCTTCGGAATGTAAGTGTTGAGTCGTTGACAGCTAGGCTTAGGCCAGCATCAAGGATTCGATTTTTACGACTCATTAATCGTAATGGAGCCTACATACACGTATGCTGCGCTATGTACACCTGGTAGGAGTTGACTCTCGGGTCAGACAATCTGTTTGAAGCACTTCGTCGGCTTGGAGAGAAAATGTATCGAAAGACTTATCGGCCTTTTTCCGGTGGGGTTGTTCATCAGAGATGATGTATTTGAGAGGTTAGGTGAAGGCAGCCTTAACGAAAACAGACTTTGTTTTATTTTTAGTTGTTGATGAGTCAGTCAGGTCCCGCGGCTAGACCCCGAAATTCAAGTAAAATGCTTGGTTTTTATTACATAATTTTATTTTATTAGAAACACGTTTCTATCTCCAATTAAACATGGAAAGTTTATAATAGGTTAAAGCCTGGACTACGTTAATTAGCTCCTACGTGCCGTAACCCTAAATTTTGTCGGTTTTAAGAATCTGAAATTTAACTTAAGTTCAAGAAAAGTTACCGACCCTGTGTGGCGGCCTATTGTCATTAACTTAACTAGAAAAATCGCACCGACGTAGGCCTATGTGTAAAAGCGCTTCGAGGGTGTACTTCGTGCTGATTAGTCGCGGACACACTTTTTTTTTAAAGAACACTGAGGTTGAAATGGTTTTAAAATTAAGAAAAATATAGGAACAAATTGAGGCTAAGGTAAAATGTCAAATGAGGTTTTTATTTTTTTAAACTATAAAAACCAATAAATCGTAACTATGGTATAGTGTGCAGTAGGTGTGACTATGTATTACCCTCTATATTACAAGAACACATTTTATAAGAACATTCATGAGACTAATTTTTTTTTATTTTAAATTAAAAACAAATTGAGGCTGAGGTAAAATATCAAGTGAGGTTTTTATTTTTTTGAAAAACTAAAGCAACAAATCTTATCTGTGTGTCACCTTATGTTCAGTATGTGTGACTATGTAATACAAAATAAGAACATTTTGAGCCTGAAATCGGAAAAAAAATATAAGAACACTGAG